CCCAATTCCCAAGACCGCCATCACGTAAACCCACGCCTTCAATCCCGCAAATGGGGCCATCTGTTGTTGGCCGAGTTATTGAAAAACTGCAGACCCGCAACGGGCGTACCGCCGCCAGACTCATGCGGCGTAGGCGACGTCCCTCGACTAGCCGAACCACCGCCATTACCACCACCCGCAACGCGTCCCGTTCTCGGGCTCATGACGCTCAGCCGCGGGCTTCGGGGTACGCTCTGCTGCCTCGTCTCTCTGCGTCCGTTCTTGAGCACCCGCAGCTCCTTCTCCACGCGCGCGAGCTCCTTTTCGCGGTCCTTGGTGATGGCCTTGGTCTCGGCAATCTGCCTCTGCATCTCCTTGACCTGCTGTCCGGCATTGGCAGTGACGTTGAGAACCTGCGCGAGGTTGCCCGGGGCCGACGATTGCATCGCGGCAACCTGTTCCTTGAGTTCGCGGTTCTCTCGCGAGAGCTCGCTGTTGGAATGGTTGGCCGTCTGATAAGCGTCTCTCGCGTAGCTTAGCTCGCCGTCCCGGCTCTCGAGCTTCTTCTCGAGCTCCGTCACCTTGGCCAAGGCCTTTTCGAGTTCTGCCGTCTTCTCTTTGAAAGTCTCCGTCGCGACGGAGCCGGCGTTGACGAGGGCTTCTTCGAGAGTGGCGCTCTTGGCCTTCAACTTCTCTTCGAAAGCCTGTGCCTTGTCTTGCCACTCACGGCTCTTTTCCAGGGCCTGTTCCTCTTTTCTCTTTGCTTCATCTCGCTCAGCCTCGAACTTGGCCCGCTCCCGAAGCGACGCCATGTGCGCCGCCTGAATGGAATTGGTGGTCTCGTCGTAGCTCTTGACCCTCTTGGAGAGATTGATGACCTGTTTTCGTAGATTGGACTCCATAGTGTTCTTCTCCTCTAGCTGATGCTCGAGTTCAGATACCTAATCACTCGTCAGCATATGGTTCATGGTGATGGCCAACACTTCCTACCTTGTCCGTCAGAGAATCCAAATACTGCTGCGTCGTTTGAATGTGCAGCTGTGACGGTTGAGGGTTCAGCTGACTGCGAACCGCCGCGTCAATGTCTCCCGGCTCTTGTCCAGGGAGAGGGCTGACGCGAAGGCGTTTGACAGCTTGCTGCTGCTCGCCATCCTACACACCCGATTAGCACTGATTCCGGAACAAAAAAGGGCAACTCACAGTCTTGCGTTTGCGGGTCGGCTCCTCCGCTTGGCTCTCGGGCTGGCTGCTCGAGTACAAGTCGAGAACAGACGAGGGGATAAGCTCGGGGTCCCAGTCAAAGCCGGGGTCGGGAAGGATTGCTTGGTTGGCAAATGAAACGGCGTAGTGATCAATCATCACCCCCTGGTTATCTCTTTCGTCAAGATAGCTTATCTTTCTTGACTGGCACACGGCGATGCATAGCGCATTCTGTCGCACCAAGCCCGTGAAATCCGCCGGCAATAACAGCTCGAGGTGCTCGATAGAGCACGTCGTCGTGAGCCTCAGCAGCATCGGCTTCTTCCCGTTCATTTTGCCCCATTGATCGAGAAGGTCTGTCTGCAAAATGCTGCTGTCGAATCCAATGACAACGTCAAAGTCGCTCAGGTCATCGACGAGAGCCTGCTCGGAGTGCACGAGAACGACGAGCAGCGAATGCTCATCCTGGCTTTCCAGCTCATGCAAACCCTTTAGAGAGTACGCCATCTCCCCGGTGCCGACGATAGCCTCGAGGTACCCGATGACGTTGATATCACGCGCAACAATGAGTATCTTCTTGTGGCTTGTCTGGAGTCGCTCGAGGAATCGGCCCACAAAGAAGAACTTGCTATTGGTACCCATGGCATGCTTCTTGAGGTCTTCTGCGGACAAGACATTAATCGAGTCACCGTCGAGAGGCGCGGGCATGTCGCAAATGTCGCGAAGCTGGTTGAGCATCTTGCCAATAGACTCTACAGCGTTTTTATCGACAACGTCTTCCTCGGACTGCATATCCTTGGTGAACTGCTCAATCGCATTGCGGTAGGACTTGATGGTGCTCCGATACAGGGGACGAATGTTGGCCGGAAACGAGAGCGTAACCAAGTATTCGCTCTGGTCCACGGCTGTGGGGGGGCCTGAAAGGTATGGTTCTTCAATATCCGGTGAAGTGACAGTGCTCTGGTCGCCTGCGGTGGTCTGGTCTTCCGGCAACATGTCCATAGGATGGTCTTCAGGCTGAGGAAGTGTGTTGGAGGCCTCTTCGGGCTCGACTGATCTGCTAATGTCTGAGGGGGATATGGTGATGGGCAGCTGCTCGGCTGATTCGGGCGGCATGAGATTGCCGGGGAAGATGTCTCCCATGCTAGCTGTTTGGTGCTCTTCGTGGATCAGAGGCTCCATCGCTGGCTCGACGGGGGCGCCGGCAAGTCCAGGCATATCTGTAGAGGACGTGACTGGCTCTCCCATGGCCCAGCCTCCTGTGAGAGGCGGCTGCGAGTTGATTTGGATGGATGGATGGTCCATTGGTGCTGAGAATGCAAGGTTTGCGTCCATTGAGGGGCCATCGTGACGAATCTGAGCCGACTCAGTCGTCGGACTCGTCAGTCCTGCCTCGCCTAATGTGCCTTGCAGCGCAGCTTCTTGAATCCTCATCAGCTCCTCTATCGCCGAGAGTGGTTCGTCGCCCGAAGTATCCATGGCTGGAGGTAGACTAAGCGGCCGATCAGCGTCCTGGGACCTGTTGGATGATGAAGGATGAGGAGGAAGTGACCGTCTTTCAAAGCAAGTCTGAAAACTGTCGGCCTCGGAAACCTCGTCCTCGCTGCGTTGTGATGGAGGCGACCCTGAACTGGCGACTGTGGCACTGAAGCGTATGCGCGAAGGTCTTCGACGGACGGTATCAGGGATCACAGGCTCTTCCGTGGAGCTCTGGCTTGCGGAAATGTCTGGAAGAGGTTGAACGACTTGAGCAGCTTGCGTGTTCTGGCTGGGGCGCGTATCAGAGCAAGCAATGATTTGCTCAGTCGCCCACTGCTGAGTGTTGGTCTGTTGTTGTGACTTGCTGGAGGTGCCCCCAGAGGCACTCTTCGCCGATGAAGTTGCTTGAGAAGTCGAGGTATCAAAATCAAAGGCGGGCTGAGTAAGGAAAATAGGCGTCCTGGTAGGCTGCGAGTCCTGGGGATAGTCTCCAATGGTGGAGTTTTCAGCCTGCTCAACTGCGCGCAGTTCGTCGACCTGATGCGATGGAATTGACCTATCAGAGACTGAAGGAAGGGAGTCGTGTTCACGTGAGGCGCGTCGAGGTGGCTGCGATGCTGCAGGCTCTACAGTGGAATGCCGATGAAAAGGTGAGGCTTGATCGAGGTCAAAGCTTGGGCCCTGGCTTGGTTCAGGGCTGTTCTGCGTCAAAGGGATGTAACCCGACGATACCGGCTCCCGTGGGTGATTCTGAGATGCCGGACGAGGCGACTCCAAGGGTGTCCGACGCACAAAGAAGTGTGAACGGTGATCTGGCGCGCTGACAAGTCGGCCCTGGGAATCCGTAGACTTACTCACGGAGGTCCTGAGGCTTGACTGCTTTTGCGAATCCGCAATCTCACGCTCAACACAGGCGTCCCCTTTGTTGCTTGTCGAGGCTCCTTGTCTGCAGGCGAACGGCGAGTCTTGGGTATCGAATGCTGAGTACTCTTGAGAGTCAGGGATCGTCCTTTGGCTGAGGCCCTCGGCAATCACCACCTGGCTGTCCTCGTCTTCGAGGGCCGAGATGGGTTGAGAACCGAGCGACGATGACCCTTGCGAGTCTGATATACTGATGTATTCTGAAAAGTCGCGATCTACTTTGGAGGGAATCGCCACGAAGAAGCTGGCCGTCGTGTTGTTGTATGCAACATCCGAGGCAGCGTCGGTATCAACCTCTGACGCCGAAGACAGCAAGGAAGGAACCTCACTAGGGTATCGCTTCCGCTGGGGTGGGTTCGAGTCGTTGTCCGATTCTGAATCCTGAAGGTCTTCTGACTGCCTAGACTGTGGTCTCCTGCGTCTGTTTGCCGTCTGCACGGGCTGGCTACTGTCGATCGACCTGGTGGGCGGAGTACGCGCCGGTGAGCCCTGCTGTGCTACACTTCGGACGTCTTGCAATACGGATTCTCCTGTTGGCGCGGTGTCGTCCTCCTGATAGAGCAAGTCGAGTTTCCTTCTCCAATCGAATATCGCTTTCGAAGTGACGTCCTTGCTGGGGGCCTGGTGGAAGTCAATAATCGCTCCGATAAACAAGGGGGGCCACTAATAGACTTACCCACGTGGGACGGTATCGCTCGCCGGTTACCGGGTTGTCTTCCCAATCGACGAGATATTCGATATTCGAGCCGTTTCGCCGTTCTTGTAGAATATCCTTAATGATGTACCATTCCTCCTTTGGCTGTTCCTTGTGCTTCTGTAGGTGTTTGGAGCTGCGGCGCGAGTCCCTCGGCATTGACGAGTCGCGATCCACCTCAATAGAGGTGGTGTGTTGTTTTGGTGTTGCTCGTGGGCGCGGCGGATTGGGCTTGCGTATGCGATTTTGGGTCCATGGATATCGCTGTTCTTGGGAGAATGCGCGCGTGTGGTTATGATTTGTCCGAGCAAAGTCGTTAGAGGGGATCTACACGGGTCGCACACGAGGCTACCGTTGCTATCGCAGCTCGTGAAGCTCAAGCCCGAGATGGGAAGACCACTGCGGGTCCACCTGCAGCCTGCCGTGGCTAGTGCACGAGCCACAGTCTCGGCCAATCAAACGCCGCCGACAGCTCACTCAGGAAAGCAGTGGGAAGTAGTCGACGCCGTCTATCAATGTCTCTAGCACAATTGCGACAGCTCGAGGTGCGAGAGTAGATGGAAGAAGAGTGTACAAGGAAAGGCAGCAGGCGACATCTGGGAAAGTGCGGCTAGGCGAGGGACCTTATGTTTGGTCCGTCGGGCATTGACAGTGTTCAAGCTCTCGGCACCGACACTTGCGGGCAAAAACATCATGGCAACAGCCTTGTCACAAAGAACCTCGACCATAGGGAGAACACTCATTAAACCATTCATCAAGTCCACTACCGGTACCGGTGCTACATGTGCTCCAAGGCTCCCAGTTACGGGCCAGTCGACCCGCAGACTCCCTTCTTCATGACAACAGCGCTGAATTTTGATCGTCGTAGATATCTCATACCGTGAACCACATCAAGTCTCTTTTTACTTGTGATATACACGAGTCCCTGGTGACTCCTTTTACCCCGCGCCGCGATGAAATCCAGAATAACTTTTTTGGTTCGTTGCGCCGTTCATACGTAGCCCTTGCGCGCGCCCTGGAAGAAGAAGCGAACGATGAACACCTGCAGAGCTCCCATAAGCACGATGAGGGCGCACTGGATCATGCTGAAGTTGATGATGCGGCCTTCGGTGCTGCGGACGGTGCTAAAGTTGCGGTTCTCTCTGGTGCGGAAGTACTTTTGGCCTCTCGAGATGGTCGAGAGCTGGCCGGAGAGCTTGAAGATGGTCTCCTCGAGGGTGGAGTGCTGTTCGGGAGAGGCGCCCTGCTTGGCGGGAAGCTGAGCGCGAACCTCGTTCTCGACCTGGATTGGCAAGGGTCAGTAGAGCTTGGGATGGGAGTTATTCGGGAACGTACGGCAATCTCGAAGTCGACAAACTTCTCGGCAAAGGTACTCATCTCGTTGTTGAAGCAGAACTCGTAGTCGCCCATCTGCTGGGCCGTGAAGACAAAGTCACCCTGGCGCTCCTTGGCTCCATCGAGGATCATCTTGTTGCCCGGGCCGGTGACGGTGTAGTCGACATCGAAAGAGCCACCGGATTGGACCTGTACGCATCGCTGTTAGCTTGCTGCAGCATTTTGAGGTGGTGATGTACGCACGGCAAAGTAAAAGGCAATCTTCTCGTTATCCTTCTGGGTCTTGGCGTAGAAGCAGGCCTTCTCGTTGGCGTGGAGCTTGTAGGTCAATGCCGTGGCAGCGACCTGGGAAACGAAGCAGGCGAAAAGCCCGCAGGCAATGGCGGACACCCTCATGATGTGTTGTTGCTTGGGGAGAATCCTGGGTGGGCGCGTGAGGGTATCTCTCGTCGACTCGTGAAGCAGGGGATTCTGGACAAGCTGTCGCCAAAAGGGTCACTTAGAACGGGCCACGATTGAAAGTTCGGCGCGGAAAATTGGCGCCGCTACGCCCCTTGGGAGCACGCACGGGCCAGCGGCGGCGTCTGTATGTACCTCCATCTGCGGGAGAGCAAGGTGGCACCTTCGCACCTCCAGTCCACTGTCCCCACAGCAGCAACAGCTCCCTCACCAGCCACGCTCACATGCAACGGGAGGTGGCTTGTTATCGGTGTTTCAGCGCGTACGGGGCATTTCATCAATCAGTGACCTCATCTCTTCAGAGGTCAGCTCAGCTGTCACGTCACGTCTGGCAGAGCTTCCACCTCTGAGAGGACAGGCACCACCTCAGGTTCATGGACGACCACCTTCTATCAAACCTTCTTCCATTGTCTCGTCCTTTCTCTCCAATACCCAGCTGCAAGGGGAGCAGCTCTTGCCTTTTTTTCTTTGACAGACGATCCCTGCAAACTATTTAATCCTCCACCAGTTCAAGTTCAATCTTTCTCATCTACCTACTGCAAACCCAGCTTGCAATTTCCAACATCTACCCACTACGGAGCTCTCGGCGTCATGGCGGTTCAGACGCGCATTGCAACCACATCGTCAATCGCGTTGAGAGTGGTCTCATACCTCTTTCTGCGATGGGTAGGTTCTTCAACTTTGTCTTTTAACAATTGGTCGCTAATCATTGGATGCAACTCTAGTTTCCCGGCCCGGTAAGTTCCACTTATTCCCATGCGTTTGACTGTCTAGGCTTGGCGCATCGTGCTGATCATGCTTGGTTTAGGCTGCTGTGCCCATGAGCATATTCGCACTCTTTGCAGTGTTCGTGCCTTCCTTCGTATCTGGCTATATCAATGAGCCAAAGTACGATGTCGTGGAAGACGACGTTGACGTGACGGTCAAAGAGACTGTGGCAGAAGACGTCGACGGCGCCACCAACGGCCATGTCGTTGCTGAAGAAATCCGAGTTGAAGAAACCATCGTGGTCAAGGAGAAGTCTAGCCCACTGAAGACACTCCTCGCCGGCACACCGAGCTCAACCAGCCCCGTTCTTTCCATCTTGACCTTTCTGATCAACTTGGCCTTGGTCGCAATGACGGCCGACTTCTTGTTCCGCGTTCGACAGTACCACCCTGTCGACGACCTCTCCTTTGTGCGCCTTGGCTATGTCTCTCCGACAGAGGCAAAATTCGTCATTCGCGAACCCGACCAGGCCAAGATGCCCGTTACGTTGGAGATTCACATCAAGGACCCGCAGCCACCGTTTGACAACCCCATGTGGCAGCTTGGTGGCGGACTGAGGTTCACTGACAACACGACCGACTTTGCGACCACCTTGACCGTGCCCCTGAAGCACTCCCAGCAGAGAGTCTACGAATGGCGCACGTCCAACAATCACAGCGGCGAGTTCGTGGCCCCACCTAGAGCTGGGCAGATGTCGACCTTCAACGACAACAAGTTCACCTTCTTGTCGACTTCGTGCATCCTCCCGCGCTTCCCGTACAACCCCTTGGAGCACGCCCTGGCGATTCCCGGCATGCGCCACCTGGCGAGGGTCTTGCCTAGTCTGCAGGCCCAGTTCATGCTCTTCTTGGGCGACTTCATCTACATTGACGTACCCAAACGCCAGGGCAAGAACGAAGAGGACTACCGCCAAAAGTACCGCCACGTCTATGCCTCTCCAGACTGGGCGCCCGTAGGACAGAACCTCAGCTGGATTCACGTTCTCGATGATCATGAGATTGGCAACGACTGGTCCTCAAATACCACTGGCGTATACCGGGCCGCAATCGAGCCGTGGCACCACTACCAGGAGTTGGCCAACCCCCCTCCTGCTCGTGTTGCCGGGACCACGAACCTCCGCCGACAGGGCGCTACCTACTTTGAGTTTGTCCAGGGCCCCGCGAGCTTCTTCATGCTCGACACGCGCTCGTACCGATCCGACAATGACGTTCCCTCCGACAGCCCGGAGAAGACGATGCTGGGTGCTGAGCAGCTGGAGGACTTCCTCGCCTGGCTGAACCGGCCTGAGCCCAAGGGCGTCAAGTGGAAGATTGTTGCCTCGTCGATTCCTCTGACTAAGAACTGGCCCATCAACCGCAAGGATACATGGGGAGGTTTCCTAGTGGAGCGTCGCAAAATTTTGGAGGCCATGTGGGATGCTGGCGCCAGGGGCGTTGGCGTTGTCGTCGTCTCTGGCGATCGTCACGAGTTTGCGGCCACCAAGTTCCCCCCTCCCGCCGATGGAAGATGGCCCGAGAGCGCCGCCGCGTACGAGTTTTCATGCAGCCCCCTGAACCAATTCGCATCGCCGTTGCCAAGCTACAGACAAACCGACAACGAGGATGTGTCTCTCAAGTAAGTGCAGTCGCAGAAAATCCAAGGTACGATACTAATAGGCATAGGTACATCCACTCTGGCAACTCCAAGTTCGGCTCTTTGACTATTGAGAACCTGGCGGAGGGTGAGCAGAGCTCTCTCAAGTACAACCTATACATTGACGGCGAGATCGTTTGGAACACGATCATCCTGTCACCCTCGGTCGAGAAGGCCCCCAGCACGTTTTGGGATAAGTTGAAGGGAAACTAGGATAGACGGGTAGATAGAGGCGATATGGTCACCAGCATCGGAATTTGAATAACGTTATTTCAAGCAAGACATGGCAGTTGACTCTTTGTTTCGTTTCTGGCGCTGGTTTTTATCCGCACCGGCCAGGACGGATCGCGCCTATCTCTCGTTCGCTATCGTGTAAGCCCCACTGGTGCTGTCGTAGACTTCATTTCCAGGAAATTCGAGGTCCTCGCATCATCACCGCTGGCCAATCGCAGGGGCAACGTTTGGCCAACGCCGGCATGCATCCTGCGTTGCGCTACGGCACCCCCTCTCCCGGACGATGTCGTCCAGGCCCGGGAATAAGAGACCGGATGACGGTCTGCTACGCCAACTCCTCAATGACAATCGGATTGCCTCACACAAGTGCGGAGAAGCAACCTGCATGAGCTCCAAGCCGAGATAACATCACCTATCCCATGAAGTAAGTGAGCTACTCACTCCTTACAAATAGCCAGCCTCTGAGTACAATTGACGCCAGCAAAACTCCAGACTTGAACCAGAAACAAATCAGAATCAAGGGCAATGGCAATGAAGCGCCTCCAACAACTCGGCAACCAACTCACACAGACCTCTTCTTCCTCCAAACCAGACGCGGAGACAATGGCCCCCGCAGACTCCAAATTCGCCCTCAACGAAAACGGCATCCCGCCGTTCGAGTCCCTGCCCCTCGGCAAAGACGACCCGCGCTTCTCGGCCTGGGGCCTCTACGGCGACAAGGACGAGCTGGGGACGCTCAACAGGTTGACCGACGAGCGCGTTGCTGCTGCTGCGAGGGAGGAGATTAAGACGGGCGCGAGGTACACTGACCATCTGAGCACATCGCCAACATCATCCTCCACGTGAAGTCTATAATATCCAAGCTTGAATCATGTGACGAAACGAGATCGATGTGGGATCTCAAGATGATGGAATCGTGAAAACTAACTGAAGACAACATCATCACACAGAGTCTCCCTAAACTGGCCCCTGACAGCCCAATCCGCCCCCTTCTTCAACCGCCGCGCCTTCCACCACGACCTCTACCGCAAGCACCCGCGCTTCGTAAACGACGACGAGTGGACCTTCAACTCGCAGTCGTCGTCGCAGTGGGACGGCCTCCGGCACTTCGGGTACCAAAAGGAAGAAAAGTTCTACAACGGCGTCTCCATGGACGAGGTCCACGCCGTGGACGAGGAGGGGAGGCGGTCGACTGTGAATGGGATTCAAGGTAACCGTCTCTCTCGGTTTCCTCTGCTCTCCCCCTTTTACCAAATTCTTCCTCCGTCGAGCTCTGCCGGCTGTCGAGTCCACCCTGTGTGCTTGGGTCCCAACAGTGTGCTGACGGCCTAGAAAAGCCTGGCAGAAACACGGCATCGTCGGCAGAGGCATCCTCGTAGACTACCACACCTGGCGCCTCGAGCAGAACATGCCCTACGACCCCTTTGCGCGCGACTCCATCCCCGTCGCGGATCTCCAAGCCTGCCTCAAGGCGCAGGGCACCGAGGTCAAGTTTGGCGACATACTCGTCACCCGCACAGGTATGTCCCTCTCTCTTCTGTCTTTCCCCTATTTCAACACCGCATATCACCCCCCCCCCCCATACCCTCCCTTTTGACAATAAGAAACGGCAGGCTTCACAGCGACACACGCCTCCCTCGCGCCCCAAACCCTGTCCAACCACCTCGCCGCCAGCCCACAAACCTTCTCCGGCGTAGCCCAATCCGAAGAGACCCTCCGCTGGGTCTGGTCCAACTTCTCCGCCGTGGCAGGCGACCAGCCGTCCTTCGAGTGCTGGCCCCACCGCGACCCAACGCACTGGATGCACGAGGTCCTCCTCGCCGGCTGGGGCATGCCCATCGGCGAGCTCTTCGACCTGGAAGCGCTGGCGGCGCAGTGTAAGCGCGAAAAGAGGTGGAGCTTCTTCGTCGTGAGCGAGCCGTGTAATGTCCCCGGCGGGGTTGCGAGGTAAGATCGAGAGTCCCCGTTTGACTTTGATTTGTTCCAGTCTGGTTTGCGTCTTGGCTAACGTGGTGTTGTAAGCCCGCCCAATATTCTGGCCATCTTTTAAAAGTGTGGTCGAGTTCCCCAGTTCCCTGGTCCCCTGGGACAATGTCTACAAGACTGCCTAATGTAAGCGGATGTAAAACACTTCGAGGAACATGAGGTTCAGTATCTGTCACCAGCTTGGAGAAGATTGCCGAGGTGTCTGTGGTAAAAGATGGTCACCCAAAACCCCAGACTTACGCTGTCCATCATCCATCATGTAACCTACACTGTACACGATAGCCTACGGTTTAGCACATAATCAAGAACACGCCCCCAACACGCCCCCAACACGCCCCAGAGACCCTCGTGAAGTTGAAATGCTTTAATTGTATTCGTATGCCAGCTTTCCTAGCTGAGCTAATTTGTTGAAACAAACCAAGCCTTGACGCCCTAGTGTGCTATCATCCGCCGCGGGCCTTCTATCGCCAACCCCTCTACCCCAAAGTTGCCGTCTCATCCCTTGTGACTCTTACGGTCGCTGTACGAATGTCAGTCAAAGAAACTTCAAGGAGTGGATGCACAAAAACTCACGTGCTCAATCTCCTAGACAGTTGCTGCAGCTTCTTGTCATTGGCCGCATCCTCGGCCGCCTTCTCCAACGCCTGCTTCCGGTCCTCATCCTGCTGCTTCACAACCTCGTCGTGGCTGGGGGGAAGTCTCTCGTTCTGCAAATCGACCTTGCGAGCATCCTCGAATGTGTTGATAGCGTTCTTGATACCCTCGGCACCCAGCATCAGGGTACCGGCAGGCAATCTGCCACCGGAGACGGTCTTCAACTCAGTGACACGCTCCGACTCTTCGCGCAGCACTTGGAATACACGCGAAAGACGGCCAATGGCCAGAATCTTGTTCTTGATGGCCCGTCTCTTGTACTCGATCGACTCGGGGTCTTGCGAGGCGCCGGAGAGGGGCGGCGACATGGGGCCGGGGGATGTGGACGACGGGGTGGCGTCCTCCTTAAGCTCCTCCTCCGAGCACGTGCTGAGGATGGCGATGAGCATATCGGTAATCTTTTCACCGACAAAGGGGAGCGACCAGGTGAAGACGTCCATGAAGTTGGGCAGCCAGTAGGGGTGGGGCGTGCAGTTGAACTGGCGAATGTTCATGACGTTGTTCTCGTACTTTAGCACGGCAGCCTTGTTGTTGTAGACGTCGAGGTAATTCGGCGCGGAGAAGATGGTCATGACACTGGGGAAACCCGTAGTGCGAGTCTTACGGTACATGCGGTAGCCGGCGTCTTGCGCCTCGTGGGCACGAATGACGGAAAGGAGGTTGTTCTTCTCGAGGAATGCGCACGCGGCGGGGTATGAGAAGAAGTAGGAGCATCCGCGGACGTGGTTGTGCAAAAAGTAGTCGCTCGTCTTTTCTTGGCCAAAGTCCTCGAGAGGGTCGGCCCAGAGGATGTCGCACATGAGGCCCTGGGTGGGGGGCTCGCGGAAACGGTCAATCTGCGAGGGCACATCGTTAGCTGTTAGTTGCACGCGAAGGCGAGTGCGGCACTCACGCTGCGCAGGTCGTCGAGAGTGTGAAGCTCCGGGCTCAGACCACCGTGAATGCACAGGAATTGCTTGTTCATGACGGCAGCCAGGGGCAGACAGCAGAAAGACTCCATGCAGGCCTCGTAGATGGCCTCGGAGTACTTGTGCTTGCACTCGAGCTTGAAGGTGAAGTAGTCGGTCAAGTGGCGACACTCATGGTTGCCGCGAAGCAGCCAAAGAGTCTTTGGGTAGTGGATCTTCAAGCACCAGAGATACAGGACGCACTCGATGGAGAAGTAGCCTCTGTCGACGTAGTCGCCGAGGAAGAGATAGCGCGTCTCGGAGGGGTCGCCTCCGACTTCGAACAGCTTCATGAGATCGTAGTACTGGCCGTGGACGTCACCGCAGACGGTGATGGGCGCATCCATCTCGAGCAGGTTGGGCTCGGCGCGGAGGACCTCGGTACAGGTCTTGAGGATCCATAGAGCCTGCTCCTCGGTCAAGCGACCCTCGCGGTAGAAGTGCTGCTTGAGGAAGTTGATGTTGGGCTTTGTGTGGGTTTCGTCCTCGAAGAACTGCTCGTCAGAGGGCGTGAACATGGCGGGGGCCTGAACGTCTGTGGCAAGGAAATGTTAGCGCTCAGGTCACTGGGTTGCGTGGAGCTGAGCTTCGGACGATGATATTCGCGGCGATGATGGTGAGGCTGGCGGGGGGGCAAAGCAATAGCGGGAGCATCAAGCGTACCTTTGCAGACTCTCTCCATGGTGTTGACCTGGGTGCCATCTTCCATGGTATGAATGGTGAAATCAATCTCGGGCAGGGGCTTCTTCTCGCGAATGGCGCGGATGGCATTGTCGACCTGCTGCTGGGTGCGGCTGCCCTCGCCAGGCGTGCTGGCTCCCTCGGGGTCCATGATTGCTGGTGATGTGTGTGAAGATTGAAGCGGCGAAATCGAAAGGGGTACTAATCGGCCGGGGGGGTATCTATGATGGATACGAGGATACTCGGGTGGCAGAGAAACAGAGCGGTGAAGGGGAACGGTTAGGCGAGAACCAGCTCTGGATCAAGTCGCGATGGGAAAGGGGGCCTGCAAAGAGGCGAGCTGGGTTTGGAGCGAGGTCGTTGGGCACGAGACGGCGAGAGACGAGGCCAGGCTTTGCGATGCGATGCGAGGGGTAAAAATTGAGGTGAGAAAGATAGGGCTGAGAAGGGGGAGTTGGGTGAAGGGAATTGGGACGGATGGGATGCACTTGGCCAGGTCAGTTCAATTCAGTGTTTGGCAGGCCGTAGAGACTTGGAACCTAAAGGACCAGTCGTCAGTCTCCAGTTTCTGGCTCGCTACGCGGGCGGGCACTTTACTAACGCTAGGTACCAAGGTACGGGAGGCGCCCTCACTCTCCCGTCTTTTGATCAGTGATGCAGCATCCAACCTAATGCCTATCAATCCAGGGCATTCGGGGGTGCTGGTGCTGTCGCTCAGGTAAGCTGGGAACTGGGAACACGCACACCTCCATTACCTCAGACGAATTGGCAGGTGGCAGACGCCAAATGCCCGCGGACGGCGGGACACTGAAGCTGCGTGTACATCCCACTCGGCGCGAGATTGGGTGAGGGATGAAGTACTTCAACTTGACCCCTCTTCCGTTGCAAGCGTGGCTCGCGTCTGGGAGGCGAGAGGCAGCCACAGGCGCCCACATCAGTTGCCTTTTCTGCCCCTTCCCCCCACTTCCTTCCACCAAACTTGTGCCTCAAGAAAGAAGGGTACGTACCTACTTTGGATGATGCTTCGCAGCTTCTTAGACCCTTTTTCTTTCCTTCCATTTCCCCTCCCCCTCATCCACGGCACCACAGCACCACAGCAAAAAGCACCAGCACTTTTTCCACTTCGGTTCGCCTCCAATTGCAGTGCACACAGTCTGCAGCACGGTTCACCTCGGACTTGGCCAGCCAAAAGTGCAATATCACGACGCGCATTGGACGGTATCCGCCCGCCTGCCCCTCCTCCGCGTTTTCTCATCACCACGCGGACACGGGCCCAATTGTCTTAGAGTCTGTCATCATTTGCAGCCATCTGTGCTGGCTTTATGTCTACTTCTATCCAGTCTATCGGCTCACGTCTGCTAGCATGGCGGCATGGCATCCCTGAGACCCGACCTTAAGGTGCTCACAGCCTATTGTCGCTTGTGTAGCTGCACCATTCGAGCCAATGACCTCGATACGCAAGCAAGCTCCGGCGCGGCTTATCGGCTTGCAATGCAGCCCCCGAACCCCCTTTGCTCGCTGGCCATTATTGCCTCCAGCCCCGCCATCGCACTCTTCCATCTCTACGGCATCCTCATGGGTATCATTCTCTTCCGCTTCTTATGGCAAGCAGTAACCTCCGTCGACGACAAGATCGGATCCGGTGGTGTACGAGGCGGCATCCGATGCCAGGTACAAGTATGCGCCCTTGAGCTCGCTGGGTTCTCCCTCGCGTCTGTTCGTCAAGTCAGCCTACAGACTCACACGCCATGATTCTCTGCAACTCACCCCATTGGCGTCTTGTTCCTCCACTGCTTCTTGGACTCTTCATCGACAAAAGCGGTAATCTCGGTCTTGATGTATCCGGGCGACACCGTGTTGACGCGGGCGAAATCGACCCATTCAACAGCCAAGCTCTTGCCTGTGCACTGGTCAGCCCCATTTGGTTCCTCCACAACTACAGCACTTACAGAGGTGGACGACGGCCGCCTTGGACGCGTTGTACACGGCTTGCGCCTGCGGGATGTTGACGACGTGAGCGCTCATGCTAGCGGTAGCGATGAAACTGCCGGTGGTGAAGCCTTCGAGCTTCTTGCCGTCGAGCGTTGTGCCCTCCTTCTTTTGCCTGCGGAAGTGCTCGCCAGCAACTTGGGCGCAGTACACGGTGCCATTGACGTTGACGGCCATGACCCTGTCGGCAACGTCCATGGGCCCGTCGATCAAAGGACCCTCTTCCCATGCGATGCCTGAGTTGGCAACAAAGATGTCGAGGCGGCCGTTGAACTCGGACACGATCTGCTGGATCGACTCTTGAATCGCTTGGTGGGAGGTGACGTTCACCGGATACGCCTTGCCTGCGGAATGGTCAGCAACACGACTGGGACGTCTTTCTATCGTGTCTCCACGCACACTTGACGCCGTACTCCTTCTCAATTTCAGCAGCACGGTCCAGGGCCTTTTTGTTGCTGTTGTACCAGATGGCGACATTGGCGCCCGCCTCGGCGTAGGCATGGGCGATTTGCAAGCCAATGCCAGCACCAGCTCCAGAGACAATGGCCGTCTTGCCCTTGAGAGAGAAGAGAGGCAGCACACGAGTGCTTTGCGGGGCCGTGGTGGCATCGTGCTTGAAAGCACCGTCCTTCATGTCGGCCATTCTTGCGACTGTCGTGGAAAAGGGCTGGAATCTCGCGGGGTAGTTGTTGTTGCTGCTGCTGTTGCTGGCGACTGCGGCACGAGGAACACAGAGGACTCGGGGCCGCGTGACCGCAGCGCGAAGGGCGTGGCGGAACATATTTAACAAGCGTCGACTCGACAGGACAGGGAGGAATATTGCCGCAAGAGGGTCTCTTTTTTTTTCTTTTGCTAATTCACTCAAACAAGGTTCTAGGGAGAAAGCTTCACCGCACTCTAAAGATATTGAGGATTCCACTCGACGATGCACAACGCCCACGAAGCGGCCCCTTCGAGGGAGGAGCTAATACTAATACTAGTATGGCCGGCGCGCCGCGGCAATGAGTCCCTGGCTCATGCGCCGGAACAATCGACAGCGAGGTGACGCTGTGGGGCTCAAGGGGAGGTTCCCGGAGGGGGAAGCTGTCCGCTGCTGCTCTCATTGACCCCTCCATCCGTCCTAGCGTGGAGCGGCACATCATGGGGCAGCCATTGCGGTGTCTCAAAGCCGTCATTGACCCTGAAGACGGCCACTAGGGATATGCCTATGCATGGCTGCCGTCGTCGCAACATTCCCTCCCAGGCTTCTGCTGCATGTCTCATGTCTTCTTCATCCTCGGTCGTTGCCGGGGGGGTTCCAGAACTTCCAGGTTCTTGTGGGGGGAACCTGGTGCCATGGGGTCCCGGCCTTCGGGGCGATTCGGGTCGCATTGTTCCTGAACTGGGCCGTGTCCAAGTCTCCAGAGATGCGAAATGTCAATTCCCAGTGTCCACGGCGGGTTTGCTCAATGGGCCAAGGTCCTGGATCGCGGGGCCATCGGGGCTAAAACGCACATCCCCCGCCTTGACTCGACTGGCGCGCTTCTACACTACAGCCGCTTTTTCTACTACAGGGGACATCGCGGGGGCACACAATGACACGAGACCCGGGCTGCCAGAAACGAAACGCGCGGGTCCTCGACCAAAACGCAGCGATTGAACGGACGAAATGTTATCAAAGGTTTCCTCTTTGCGCCTTTACTCGCGAACCATTTGCTCCTTCACATGCCAATGCAACTCTGCCCAAAACCTTTGACACCCTGTCATGCGTTCCGTGGCCCTTCGTGCCCCGTCTAGCCAACAACCTGGTTCAGGACCTGTTCGTGGGGGAAGTTTGTGTTTCTCCAGCGGGAGACAAAGTCGTCACGGTTGACTATCGGTGTTAATTGCGTGGCTCGACGGTGGGTTTTCGAAGTCGAGATACTCACTATAGGCACCGGCGATGCGTCTTCTGCCCTCAAACGCACTCCTACCGTGCATCACACGCCAGTTGTCAAAGACTGGACACTGATTAGCATTCATCCCGCATCGTTTCAAGGCAAGACGTGGCACCACTCACTCAAAACCTGGCCGGGCTTCAGTTGCCACCAAAACTCAACGTCGGATCTCCGGAGAATGGCATCCCACTTGCGCGCCGCCGCGTACCACTCGGTCGGCGAAACGTCGTCGGTAAACGGCACCACACCGCGGTCGTCATTGTTCCACCGCACCCGCTGCAGTATCCGCGTCTGCGGGTCGACCTCGAGCACGGGGTACCGCTTGTCGGGGGAGATGGTGATGCCCTCGTTGCCGCTCGCGTGCCAGGGCAGGCGCACCTTGGAGAGGATCTCGTACGCGGCTGGGTCTTCCTTGTGCAGGATCTGCGCCGCGTAAAAGGCGTCCACGAGCAGCGATTCGCCTCCGAGCTTGCCGTCTTGGGGTAACTGCTGTCCCGGCGGAGCCTCGTGAGAGAGCATGTGGAAGGCTTGCAGGCCGGCCGGGTCGGTGAAGTAGGTCGTGTCCGTGTGCGCCGGGAGGGCGATGTTGGTGTAGGCCGTGTCGGCCATGGCGAGGTCCGGGACGAAGTCGTAGAAGCCGCCGTAGTGCGTCTCGCGGATGAAGGCGATTCTCTCGAGCACGCGCTGCGTCGGGGCCGGGGTGTCGTAGGGGGTTCCGTCGACGAAGGCGAAGCCGTATTCGCGCTGCGGGTGTCAGTTGACTTGTCATTCCCGGGTAGCAGAGGACGGGGCATGCTTACAATGAGGTTTGTCAGCTTTGCGACGCCCGAGTCGTCCTTGTCGGACATGAGGTGGTCGTACTCGACGACGGGGCGCCTTTCGCCCACGTCGGAGCCCCAGAAGTTGTAGCTTGCGTGGACAGTTAGTGACTGGTGTGATGTGAAGGTATGAGATTGCCCCTTACTTGACTTGTTCCGGACTGCGGTGGTCATTTTGCAGGTAGTGTTTGATAAAATGCCATGGGTAGAAGCTCTCGTGGCCGTCTTGCTCCCCTAGTTGCGCGTCACTGTTAAATGTGGTGATTCTTGAATGAGTTAAAGAGGAGGGGAAGGGGTGTTGGGTTATGAAGCTCACATGTCACCTTGATACCCTTTTCTTCGGACTTGATCTCGGAAGGTCGGATGTCTTGGCTAATCTACAACATTGTTAGTGTGGGGACGGTACTGCTTTATCAAAATGGGTCTTTTGGCAGGCGTGTATGGTTCATGATACGAGGGGGCGCTTACGGCGTATGTGTCAAAGTTTCGTTGCGTGGTGTCTTGGTTCACGCATTTACTGCATCGACAGTTGTCTCTGATGCGGGGGTTGTGTTAATTCGGCCGAGATGATGGATATCTGGTACTGAGGCTTGCTGATGCGGTTGGCGGAAACGTACCTTAGCCAGAAATGGGGGCTGCGCGTTGGGAGAGTTCGTGTTAGTTGAGGTGTGTGGAAGATGGTCACGTCATGGTGAGGACCGGCTGGTTGCGCCGGAGCCGGAGCCGGAGCCGCTGCCGGGGGATCGGGGGAGTCGGAGCGGGACGGGAGACGGGGAAAGAAGGCGGGGGTTGTGATAAGGCAAGGTAGGTGCGGTGGGTTGGGTTGAATTATGACTGGGACTTACAGCGTTGATCTACGGGTAGGCACGCCCGTCAGCCCGTCGAATTGCACGCCGTCGGTGACGACTTTTGCGTCGAGATGGCGGGCGGCGGCGGTTGCGGAGAGGTGTCTACTCGCGGAGCCGAAGGTGCCGCCATATGTGATGAGGCGGGGTGGTGCCGGTGCTCCGAATGCAGAAGCGGAACGCCTAGTATAGGAGTGAGACCTTCACGTGTCACATGTGGACGATGACTTGTACTACATACCTCGCGGCTCGGGGTGCGATGGTTCTCCAGGGGAGCATTTTGGAGGCCTACAGACGAACTGAAGGGGAAAGCAAGCTTCCAGAGCCCAATTGGATGGTGAGGTTCAGGTCCTGTGGGATGGAACTCTGATAACGGGCCGAGAGGAGGGTGGGAGGGGAAGATGTAGGATAAGGTAAGGTAGAGTTGGAGAGAATGAACTCTGAGAAATGGGAATTTGGAAACCGGGATGAATTTGGGTGGTTTGTTTGAGAAATGCGACGGGGGCGGGATCTCGCGGGGGATCGGGAGGGGCTGTGTGGCCTCTGGGGAAAGCTGAGAAAAGCCGAGACCAGGCGGGATTGGTACCGCTAGAGGTGCTGTGGTTTTGGCACTGACATCAGCTGATTGCCCCTCCGTACTTACCGTACCCCTGCCCACTTCTTTGTTGCCATGCCCTGAGAATGGATTGTGCCTCGGTCTACCTTTGCCCGTCGACCACCCGTCAAACTGAAGCCTGGACGGTCCGAAGTGCACATTTCCAACCGTGGCAGAATTGAGTGAAGGAACAGGTGCAGAAGTACTGGCTGGGGCTCCTGTGTAGGCAACGTATCATGACCGTCTTGTGTTCTATCGGTGGACCGATGCTCTCTTCCGTGCTGTGTTGGGCTACATCATGCCATCACTTCAACCTCCACGGATCAAAAGACTGCCTCGTGTGAATTTCCTCGAAAAGGTAACTAATGTAATAACACCTACCAGGATTGATGCTTGAGGTCAGAATGTCTCATACGCCGTCCCCTTCTAAGTTCGTTCTAGGTGGCAGGACATGACCAATCCGTCCGATGGTCCTTGTGTAGCTTGCACAGGCTCCGGCCTCAACTCCGGCTCCGGCTTCCGCTCCCGAGAGGTGAGACTCGGAGGGCCGGAGCAGCCTCCGCTCGGCAGCGTAATCTCTGAGGAGAGAGGCCGTCCCCGGGGAAAACGCCCATCATTCGGGCAATGTTGGACCTTTTCAGCCGCCACCACGACACAAGCGTCCAGACGCTCATGTGACGTCTTCCAACATTTCAAACTCCCTGCTCAATGGCGCGTCTAGCTTAATCTTGCCCGGCGTACTACCTCCAGCATGACCACTGCCAGAAAATCTCGCCACGTCGTCAAAAGTATGCCTCGCTACGCCCAAGCGCGTTTGATCGTCCGCTATCCAGACCGTTCTTCGAGGCCCTCTCTTACAGGTTACACGCCTTCCAAAACCTGAACCTAGGGCACACACACACCGTAGCCGCCGTGACCGTTCTCCCGGGACACCTATTTTCACCTGCCTCATCGACAACCACCCGATTTCCGGGTCCCGGCATCGCCATCGTGGCATCCGGATCCCGTACCCAGACCCTCTCGAGAAAAGACAAGGAACAACAAGCGCCAGAGTGCCACAATCGGCCTTCACAGCACCCTCCTTACCCATTCTGGTAGTGCTATGAGACGTTGCAGGGTACAACTTGCAGCAGACCCTCATGACCGTCCACTCACATGACCTAGACGGCGCCGACAGAGCGGTAAGTTGGAAGTTCTTCCTCCTTTCTTTGCTGTGTTGTCTCCTGCAGGTTGGCGTTTGCTGTGTTGGAGCAGCGTTGGGATTGTAAAGTGTTCGCGCGTAGACAGCTCGTCTGATTGGCTGCGCTTGGCGACGACGAGGACCGAACGTCGAAGCCCCCCGGTCATCGCGGCAGAGCATGTTCTGCGGTTGGTTCGATCATCGATTGGAACCAACGGCTTCTTATTAGTTTGCTTGTCTTGGCTGCCGTAGACGAGGCGTTGATATACCGCGATGTCCTCTGCGTACAGGTTGAGGCCGAGTGGCTTTTTCTTGCGTTGTCGGTCTCTGTCTTGGTTGGATTTCCTTTGATACTACGATTTCTCTCTAACTCTTTCGTTCTCTACAACCGCGTTCCTTTGGAAATAACCTTTTAATCTCTTCATACACAACATGGCCTCATTAAGAAACTGGCGGAGGCTATGCATAATAACCTGGCTCCTCTACACCGAAATCTTCGTCTCCGGACTGCAAATCACACCCCTATCGCTACCAACATCAAACCCCCATAATATCAACAACCAACTTACACCAAGATCAACACTACGAGCCGATGCCAGCTGCCCCGTGAAGGGCTACACGGCCTGCGGCAACGGCATGGCAGACTACTTTTGCTGCCCCAGCGAAACGACATGCATAGTCCTCGCAGAGAAGACCACCGCCCTGTGCTGTCCCAAGGGGTCTTCGTGCGAGACCATCTCGCCCATCACCTGCGACGTCACCCTACAAGACGTGGTCGAGAATCCGACGAGCCCGATCCACACCACCAGACGGAAAGAATCTCTGCCGCAGTGTGGGAGCAAGTGTTGTCCGTTTGGGTATACATGTCGAGGCGGTTCTGCCTGCGTCTTGGACGACGGCCAGGAGGAAGAAAGGCCTCAGACTTCCAGCACGCCGGTCTCATCTACAAAGACGAGGACAAGGACTGTATCAAGCGCGATACCGACGACGTTCACTCAGGCAGCGACGACGACGACGGCCGTCGAGACAGTTCCAGCTGCCTCATCGACACCATCTCCAACCCCCGGCGAAGACCTCCCTACCCCATCAGCAGTGACATCCCCCTCAGAAACCACCCCCGCCGCCGCAGCAGCCGCCTCCCCGAGAAGCTCAACCTCGGGCGGCATCATCGCAGGCACCACCGTCGCAGCCATCGCCTCAGTGGCAGGCATAACCTGCCTCCTCTGGTTCAAGCGACGCTCTATATCCGAAAGCGTCGGTTCGGCAAAGTTCCCTCGCCCCTGGCAACAACTACGACAGAACGGCTCGGACCAGGACGTCTCGTCGCTGCCGCGGTACAACTCCCCGCCGCCGGCGTACGCCGTGGAGATGAAGTCGCCGCTGGCGAAGCCGTATACGTGGAAACACTACAGCCCGGACTCCTTTGGGCGCGACCGCTACGGCGGCCGTGACGACGACGGCAGCGTTCCCGTACCTGTTTCTGTTGCGCTTGCCCTCGCTGTCGAGTTGCCCGCCACGCCGGTTTCCTTTAGCCAGTGGCATGTTCGGGAGGAAGGGGAGGCGACGAGGCCGCGGTCTCATTATGAACCTTACCGGCGTCCTTCGTAACCTAGAATATCTTTCTTTTGGGGGACTTTGTCTTCTTTGGGTGGGCCGGCCTTCTTTTTCGATAGACAAAATTGTTTTACCGTCTTTCCTTTGTGTTGGGCTTGCGCTTGTCGAGCAAACAACATGTTACGACAGATATGAGACACGATTTCTGTACACTACTAGGAGACATAGGGAGGAAATCTAGATTGGGATCATGAGTTCATCTGCCTACGAGTATGAACCACAGCCTTCTCGTCTCTTTCATACAGAGAGTGATATAGCGATGTCCATCATGAGAGTGGTCCGAGATGTCCCTGATGTTATATCAGTCTCAGGAGAAGTTGTAATGCCTCTTCCAGCCTGCTAAAACCCAAAGTGTACAACTCCAGTCATATCGAACACCTCAGAATCGTAGATTCAACACGAGCTCAAAGCGTAGGAAAGAAGGACAACCTTCTTCCCCCTTCTAACATGCCTCGTCCAACAACGGACAGGGTCATCCACGACTACACCGCAAAGATCCTCCCCGCGACAATGATACTCACCCTCGTCATCTTCACCGTCGTCGTCCTGGTCTACAGCATCAGCGAAAAGGCCGCCGTGCCCCGGGACGCCGCCGTCGCTTTCGCCGGCATAGTCTTTGGTTTCTCGGGGCTGTGGTTGTTAGGACACCTCGTCATGTACTGCCGCGGCGCGCAGGCCGTCTCGCCTCCGCCTCTGGCTTTGCCTCTGCCTCTGGCGGGGATCGCGACTGGGGTCGGAGCCACCACGATGGTTGTTCCACAGGTTTCGCAGGCGGCTGTTGATGTGGTGGTGCCTCCCACGGTTCATCTCCATCAGCAGCAGCAGCAGCAGCAGCAACAGCATCAACGAGTTTATCAACCGCAGAATAATCAGTACCGAGAATATGAACAGCCTCAAGGTTTCCCCCCGCAACTTCAACCTCACTCGCAACCGGAGGATCAGTCTCACCGGCAACAGCGAGAAGACGCCGTAGTTGTGCGAGCAGATCAGCGCGAGCAGCAACATCGAGAGCAACAGCAACACGAGGGTCAGCAGCGAGGTCAACAAGCAGAAGCCCAAGGGCCGATGCAATCCAAGCAGGAGGAACAGAGAAAGCACGAGTCCCATCGAAGACTGACAGACCATAAGCCATACGTCAAAGAGCCGCCCTATCCCGAGTCGCCCCCTGGAGCATATCAAGGGGGGCCACTGGAAGAAACCAAGAAGTTATCGCAGCAACGAATAGATCAACATAGGCAACAACAGCTAGAGCAGCAGCCGCAGCAAAGACGCGAGATATCTGGGCCTCTCGAGAATGTATGGCAGAAACGACCAGGCGTTCCTGTGAGCCAGCCTGCTCCCGTGACAGTGCCCGGCCCTGTTCAACCAAGACAGCAGCCAAAGGGGCCCAGGACTATGGTAGGGAAAGCACCCGAACCCCCTGAACGCGTTTCCAGCCTCCAGAAGTCGTTGCCAGGAACGTCGTCTCGAAGACATCGCAGCTCGAGCTTGAGTAGCTCGCGGGTTAAGCGGCCTGGCCAGCTTTCCAGGGGAGCATCAAGTCTCCCAAGGCCTGTTCGGGGTGGTCGTTTTGGAGACGCCTCTGAGGCTATCGGTGAGCGAGGTCGTTCACGGGTAGATCGCAATCGCCCGGAGAGGTATCAAGACAGCGAGCCGCAACCTAGGTCTGCTTCAATCAAATCAACGAGCTTGGACTCTGCTACCCGGGCATCTTTGAAGGTGAGTGTGGCCCCTGAAAGTTGCGAGAGTCCCTCGAGGGCTGACTCAGACCAGCCCGCCCCCTTGAACATTGCGAAAGGGGACAGGTCACCACCCGGGGATGAAAGATCGATTGAGGAATCAAGAGCTACCGGGAATCACGCCTGTCTTCCAAGTCGACGATCCGACCAGCTCGAATCTGACCCCCTGAGTCGACGAGCGCTAGGCCAGACCGTTGCCAAAAACAGGGTACCAACTATTCGCAAGGTGCCTCCAACGCCACCGAACGAGCCCGCAATTCCCGTTCAACCCGCTCAAGGCGAGGTACGTGATCAATCTATTCGTGCTGAGGCATCCTCTTCTTCGTCTCTTTGGCGTTCTCCTCCCCCTTCCCCTGCCCAATCAGCCCGCAGTAGTAAAACCTTTGATGAGATGGGAATCCTCCCTGGACGCGAATCGACAGTGTATGAAGACATTCGCCACTCTATGTCCGACTTTGGCAACCTCTTGTGTCGTTCTTTCACTAATCCTCGTGCCAGCGATTCTGACAGTCGCGGGAAACCTCGTAGTCTCATGACGGACTTTCAGACCAGTGTCGTCTTCATGCCAAACTACAACTTTACGGCCGCTCAGCTTCTCGACCCCGAAAGTCACGAGTATGGAAGTCTTCCTTTCCTGGGCCAGTGTGAGAGAGACGAAGAGAAGGTGGCAGCTGGGGAGGAGCTTGAGGACAGGGGTGATGTCGCTATGGTCTGCAGTTCGGACAACGCGGGGCAGTGGCTTATCAAGCTCGTAGAGCTGGCAGAATCTTCCAATGAGGTCGAGGGTGATTTTATGAAATAGAATTGTTTCGTAGGAAGTTTTGTTATCTATAGATCTTGTTCACGCGGAAGATGGACGCAGTTTTCATTTTTACGGCTACGATATCTTAGACTTATGAGCGTCCTTGTTGGGTAAGATGCCATAACCTTTTCCCCGCACCCTTTTCCGTTCCCTGTCCGAAATGATACGTTTGAACGAGGAGTTGAGTGGACTGAATTACTTCTTGGGGATTAGAGTTGACATCTCTGGATGAGGGGTAGATGGATAGCCGGAGCTCCAGGATGAAGCTCAGAGCATCACACCACATTGGGTCCCCTCCACCTATCAAGACTCGACGTCCAACAGATTTCCAAATCCAATTGAATGGCATGCATGAAGCATGCACCAGACAAACCAGAAGGCGGAGAAGTGTTCGGAGACCACGGAATGACTAATCTGTCACCTTAAGCTACCTGGGGGAACATATTGCAGAACTTAACCTTGAAAGGAGAACGCGACTGTTGCAAACAACACTTGGATGAACGCTCACCATGGCAGGACCCCAGGGATCCAATGAGGCCTCATGGACCGATACGATCTACAACCTCAATCGCGGGGACGTTGACGGCGAGCGCGAGCGCCTGGCCGACAACCATTTCAAAGTCTGGCTCCCCCTCACCATCGACCTCCTCCCGCCGCACATCCTCTCATCTCTCGAACCAGCAAACCTAGGCCGACTTCCCCGAATCGCAGACGTGGCAACGGGAAGCGGCATATGGCTGACATCCCTTGCCCAGATCATCCCACAGGGCTCAGAGCTCTACGGCTTTGATCTCGACGGGCTGAAAATGCCCCAGTCGCATAGATCAGAAGTGTCACTCAACTTCATGGAGCACGACGTCCTCAAGCCGTTCCCGCCAGATCTTAGGGGCACATTCGACCTCGTTCATGTGAGACTGCTCGCGCTGGGGCTGAAGAAGGACGACTGGGACGTCGCTGTTACAAACATGCGCGAGTTGCTGGCGCCGGGAGGGTGGCTTCTCTGGGAGGACATGAGTGACCTACTGATCAGGTTCTATCCGCTGAGCAGGGCGTATGAGGAGTTCTGGTGGGTTACTATGCAGCATGATGCAAAGGTCGGGAGAGATAGACTGTGAGTGGTTCCCACTGCCGTTGCCTTGACCCTTTCTCGCATCCAGTGATGGGGAGTTCATTGCTCACACGCCCGGTAGAATGCCGATGGGCCTGCTCAAGAAGCTTCGAAAGCTTGGGTTTCAGCACTGCGAGCAAAAGATATTCAACTCATGGGCCGCAGATGATTCGGTCCGAGATGAAGCCACCTCGGGGATAATGCGTCTTATTCGACCTTCGCTCGCCTCCATAGTTGAAGACGGCGGGGAGGAGACGGTCCAGACGATGGAGGATGTCAGTCGCATCGAGGCAGAGTTGAAGCGTGATGTGGAGGAAAAGGGGTGTCGGGTTGGCTTTGATTTCGTGTGGAACTGGGGACAGCGAGCTTGATGAGGCTGGGTTTGTCTTACGGGCCTCTATCCACTCCTCAAAGATAGGATAATCCTACATCTCGTATCTACAGTCAATTCATCTTTGCCACGCTTCAATGATACCAGAGTTCACCATACGGAAAACCCACGCTGCCACCCCATAGATTAAAGCAAGAGTACGGTGCATTGAAAGATACCTGCTCTATTCGCCTGTTCTGGCTGGCATATACCTCTTCCGCTTACGCGCTGAGATGTGCGACATCGGTCTCCTCGTCGCGAACCACATGAGGTCGGGGAGAAGGTCGATCTAGTTGCAGAGTCGAGAGCCAGTACGTCGAGTGTCAAGGTGGGGCCTATTTGAATAACAGCATAGAGTTGAACAGGGAGGCATATTCGAGCCATCACTTCAAAGGACCTGAGCTTTTATATCCTTCAGTCGTGGTTTATTTCTCCCCTGGCTTTCGAAAGGGCCAATGTTCTAAAGTACAGCCTGCTGCGCGAATCCCGAAGGAAGAAAGACACCAAATGTGGTTTGACCCGAAGCAGATGGAAAGCACGCTGTCACGCAGAAATCGCCGTTCAGTTGCGTCAAAGGCAAGGTTTCACAGTTGAGTAGAATCTCTACGACTCTGCCTGTCAGTGGATCAGAATGTTCCATGACGTTACCCGCAGGTTGTGCTGTGTAGGCTGGTCCAAGGCCGAGTATAGTAAGCTTGATCGCTGGTGAATTGCCAAGTCAAGCCTGCGTGCAATGGCGAGACATCTATCCAGACGGCTAGCTGTTGCTATACAGCAGATCAATAAAAATCGGCTTCCATCTTTCAGCAGGAGTCTGTTCAACGCCCATAAAGGGATGCTGTGACACTTTTCACCTCGCCGTTCAGGTTGTCCGTGAAAGCGCAGGTTCTGACGTCTCTGGTGGCGGTTGGCACATCTTCTTGCTATCCATGTACCCTATATACAACTGAATCACAGCTGAAGGCAATTTCAACCACAAGCAGACCTTCTCCATGCTTTACATAAGTGCATTAATGAAGGTATACTTGGAGACTGATGATGAGTCTAGGCTGACACTCAGGTCTCAGGGTCGAGAAACACGGTCATTGATTGTAAGGAAAAGAGCAGGGCCGTTAATGCAGCAGACGGACCGTTCGCGAAGTGCCACCTCTCGATGAACCCGATTAATAGGTCTCTTACTCCAGGTTCTGAAAAGCTCAGAACCTCGACCGCGGTTCGATCCATAATATGTCAGGACTTTCAAGAGACACTTCGGGCCCGAAAGAAGGCGGCGACGGCGACCAACATCGCAATCCCGGTTCCGTTGTCCAGGAGGTCCAGGTCCCAAATCGGCTTTTATCACAAAAGAAATGTGGCGGTCCACTTGCTATACACCCCTCACGACAACTAGACACCTCTGTCTCCGGGAGGCCGGTGATTGGGAAGCTCATCACAAGGTGTGACGAGAAACCATATGGGCTTCCCGCGCCGGACCAGTTCACATAGACAGAGTCGAGTCGCACGTCCTCTTTCCATTAGTTTAAACTTCCTACCGTGCTCCCTTTAGCTTGCACTTCAAATTGATCACCGCAAGTCACAATGTGTTCTCACAACTTACCAACCATACAAGAGAGAGAGAGAGAGGGAGAGAGCTTAGCGGAGGTGGGAAGCAGAAAAAAACCGCGCAACTCGGAAAGCGTCAGTGCAAAACTTCACCAGTCCGAGAGCCCGCAAATGACAACAAGACATAGCTGGAGGTCATTGCTTTTTCCCCGAGTCTCGCGGATAATGGAGGATTATGAAGGGGGAACTCGGACCTCCCGGACACCCGTCGAAATGCCAACCAAGCCGGCGCATGAGTTGAAAGGCGTCAGTGCCGGCGAAGTCTTTGCATGACAAGAGCGGCCGTGAGCTGTCGCGATCATTGCGCTGTTCATCTCCCGGGCTAGGCCATCACGGTGACAGAACATTGCCCCCCTCTGACTATGTGCGTGTGTGCGCCCAAGGTTCTCACGGTCTGGGCGGTATCGCGGGCGTTGAGAGCCGGGCAATGGTTTCCGGCGGGAAGATGCCAGCCTGAGGTAGCGACTTGTCAGACATGCTCAAAGTCTGGACTGTGGGAGATATCTGTGCTGCGAGTCTGGCGCCACAGTGGTCGTGTCATACGAAGAAGGAAGAGACGGGTTGGCACAAGTACGGAGGAAGTCAGTGAGCCTCACGGCGGGCAATATCCGCAGTTGGTAATCGTCATGAGGCTGAATGATGGACGACATCGGGGTTTGATAAAAGAGCCTCTTTACAAGGGCCCAAGCGTATGGTCCGGAGCGATCGTTCACAATGAGAACAGCCAGATCCTCAATCTTGAACGTTTACCCTGCCGCGAGGCTGAACTCCGTGGCTGAATCCTGCTGTTCATCATCGATGAGCACTGAGCCATGCCCATCTCACGCCTCAAGAGGACGGATGGCAGGCCACGGCTGTTTCGAAATTTGAGTCCAAGGACCCGACCCATCGGGGAGTGGCTTGTTTGAGATCTTCTCCACTGATCGGAACGATGCGAAAGCCACGAGTAGGCCCTTGTCGGAGGCCAACGCCTTTCCCACAATGAGATGAGGCCATCGCGATGAGATGTTTCTTTACTACCCTGCTGTATCAAGGGCATATTGCTCCCAACACCCCCATCAACTCTCGGACGGAAAGCCACATCTAGCAAAAGAGCCACGATTATGTTCGTGAAACTCGCTTTCCGATTTCTCCCATCTCCGCGGGCGCCCGATAGAGATCACTCGCATCCGTCCATCGATTTGGCGCCCGCTTGCCTGAAGTGATCTCCCGGATCCGACTCTCATCCTTCCCATGAAATATTAGCAAGCCATAAGCTATCCTCCATCTTTTCGTTTGCTCGGACGACAGCCAACTAGACGGTCTCGTTACTTAGGCAGCTCCCCCCTTCCCATCCACACCGCGCCACGATGGGCAGAAGGCCGTCTCCCTCCTCTCGTGGCGCGGCGTCTTTGCGCGCGCTAACAAGCCGCCTTGTGGGCATGGCAATCTGGCAGCCTTGAGAGGTGCCATCCCAACTTTTGATTCAACACGGTGGCTAGCGGTAGTGCTCGGCCGCAAAGGGGGGCCACGAAGGGGGGTAGACCGTAAAGGTACGAAAGGAGAATGAGAGAGAGCCCGGACTTATACTGGGCTCGGACCCGGAGGCGTGGGCTGGTGACGGGGACGGCCTCTGGACAATGTGGACCGGTTCGTCACTACACAATCGTTCCTCATCTCCACGGCGTGTGCTCTCTCTGGTTCAAATCTCCGCCCCCGTAATCCGTCCAACGCCTGTGCAGGAATGCGTGACTGGTAGAGGACTGTAGAGTCCCGTTTCGAGTCAGGCGTCACTCAAACCCTCCTTTTACCCAGATTCCGGTGTTCTGGGAACGAGAACTTGGGAAAAGTGGAAGCCAAACTGCCATGTCTCGCACGAGCACATCAAAGGATCACGGGCACAAGGTCCCCGTGTTGCCTGCTCCCAGCCATCGGGTCACACAACAACTGTCCCGGCATCACGCGAAACCTCCCAGCCATGCCAGCCACGATATGTGGTTGAAAAGGGTGCCCATTCAAAGTTGATCAAGACAGAGAGAAATCGCGACTAATGCAGGGTTCTGGCCCGACGACCCAACTGAGTCGCGACGACGAATTCGAACGCGTAGAAGGAAAAGAAGGCGCTTAGCTAGAAGAGCCACCACCACCTTTTTTGCCCACTGGGCAGAGAGGCTGGCTGGGAGACCAAAGGCTTTTAGCTTGGGGTTGCTTCTGCGTGCCCCGCAACCAGCAATTTAGAGCTTTCCGAGCTGCCGGATAGGAGCAACGGGCGAGCAGCAGAAAAGAAAAGCGTACGGACGGTAGAGAGAGCTTCAAGTTGTTTGGCTGAACCAACCTGGGGGCGTGATGGCGCTGAGCTGGGAAGCTCTGGACGCTTGCGTCGCACAATCTTTTTGGCGGCTGGTGGCTTTTTCTCTCTCGCTCTTCGTGACCACGCTTTCCAGAGTGCGCCAGCGTCGCAAATGGTGACGGGCGTGAGGCTAGCGGGCTCTTAGCCCCCCGTCGTAGTGTACAGATGAGCATGCTAAGGCACAGTACACGCACTTAAGGGCATGTACCCCATCTCCCATGGCTTCAGCAGGAGTTTGTTGGCTGGCGGTCGCAATGGAGCTAAGAGGTAGTCGGCTCTGTAGCGCGGGTGCGCTGATGCGTGACCGTTGGCACATAATGTCGCAAGCATCTTAAGTGTGAGGTAGGAAAAGGGGCACCGAAAGGAGAGGACGAGCGATCGGGGACGGGAGACGGGGGGATCCACTCATCCTGCTTGGTTCGGCGGTTGGCCGGTACGGGTGCGGAGGACGGTGCGGACGCTGATAGGTGCAAGTGGACGAGCCGGAGGGGTGGAGGAGCACGAGGGGGAACAGGTGCAAACTGACCTATCCCGTTGGCCGGTGCGACTCTACATACGCCGCGGGGGCGAGAGAACCTGAAGACGATCTTAACGGGCACGCATTAAGTTTCCCTTCTCAGGGAAGCTGAAGCAGGTAGGTCTGGGGAACGGGTGGGAGAAACGCGGCTGTTGGCTCGTTACGGTTGCAACCGAATGCATACCCCTTTTTAATCGATGTATGCGTGACTTTGCATCCATCCCCTTATTTATTTCTTTTTCTTGCCCTTTTGCCTGCCTACCTACCCGTGTGCTACCTTGTTTGGGCTGTGGAGGCATGGGCGACTTTTCTGACCGTTTGCAGGGGAGCTGAAGGAGATGCAGGTCCGGATGGGGATACAGAGGCCGACGCGCTGGAAGGGGGAGCAAAGGGGGCCAAGACTTGGAGGCTCAAGGGCTTGGAGAGAGGCTTTCCCTTCTCAAGACCTGATCTGACAATGACTTGGCGCTGGAAGGGCTGTACGGAGTAAGGCAAGGTACTCTGGCCGTTCTATTTGACAGTCCTTGTCATTGTAGCAGCCGTCGGTGGATGTGCGGATCATGGATGCGATGCGAATGCAAGGCTGAGATGATAACGACGACGACTACTCCGTACAACGGGACGGCAATGAGATGTGATGCGAGGGTAGCGAGAGGGAAAAGCCGAAGGGGCCCTGCTCGTTGGGAAATGATTGGTGGCTCCCCCGGTGGGCGAGTCTATGTGAGGCAGACGTCGACATTGGCTGATGCTATCCCGCATCTTTCGATTGTGAAGGAGAGCATGCCCTCTTTGTCTCCAATGTCTCCATTCAGCACGGTTACATTTGACGGCTTTCTCCACGAAGAACTGCACAACGATCCTGGGAGGGATGATGGGGGCCTCGGCCGAGTTCGTATGTATGATGGAGCGTCCGAGGGTCAAGTCAACCCAAAAATTAAATCAAACGAAACATTGAGCAAGACAGCAGACTGTGTGGGCATCACTCAGAAAAGTCGTGTCATTATTCGGGGTGGGCGGGAAGGGAATAAAAAAGTTTCCTTGTTCCTGCAATGTCGTGCAGATGGGTGGATGGGACCTCGCTGTTCGGCTTCTCCATCACCGTTGAGCAGGTCCACCACAGTCGAGTTACTCTTTTGAGCCATCGTGATAGATAGAGTCGAACGACGAAAAGATGAAGATGAAACACGACGTCGACTGGGGTATTCCGAAGATGGTGAGGGGGGGAAACGACTGGGAGTTCTAAATGAGTGGAGGGCGGGTGCAGCGTGCATAGCGCGTTCTGCAGGTACAGGCTCGGCCAAGTACGGTTGCGACGCTGCTCTTGATGCTGTAGACTATCCGTACGGATATAGAGTACGAATATAGCTTGGCGATTCGGAACCTGTCAATCTGTGTGTGCCACTCTCCCGCGTCTATAGCGCCAAGTGCTTGTCGTCCGACGTCTGCTGGATGACTGATCAGATTCTTGATATATCCATTACCACCATGCCATCCCGCCCACGGCCAACCCGGCCAATGTTCGTGTTGCGGGGGCCACAAATCAGAATTGGAGATGGGGGCGCGGGAAGAACAAGAGACGAACGGAAGAGAATACATACATACATACGCGGCTGACCTGACTTTGGACATGTCTTGGACCCCACAATGTAATGCAGTGTATAATTCCTCCAGTGTTGAGTTGCCTCTCCCCATGTGGACTGCTCAACCTGCAACGCCAGAACCCCAGTCCACCTAGCTCTGTTCAGAGAGCAAAGCGAAATGAGCAGACACACCAGGGGAAGCACACCGCCAAGCAACCTGCCACCCATCGCCCTCTTGACCTTCAGGCTTCAGCCACTCCTAGAGCTTTCTCACTACGGAAGACGGAGGAAATCGTAGATCTGCAAGTCGGTGAGCGACACGAAGCGAGAGGCACTGTATGGAGATCTCATGGTTCCCCCCTGGTCCCCTAATCCCCTGTCGTGCCTGGGTTCGTCCGCCCGAGGTCTTCTTAGCCTTCTTCACTGTGTGGGCTCCTCTGGATGGATACACAGTAAGCTCTGTCTCTCTTCTTCCTTGTCGCTCTTGTTCTTTTCGCTCCCCACACGGGCGCAAGGATAGGGGACTCATGTATCTGCGGTAACGACGTTTTGACGGCCGATGGAAAAAGAAATGGCGAGGAAATCAGGGAGCTCGGCAAGGGGAAGCTGATTTTTTTTCCCCCTTCCTTTCTTTGGGGTGCAGGCAATGAACAACGACATGGGAGGGGTGTGTTATACGGACAGACTGTACTGAGCATGGAGCGGGAAGAAACGCAAGTGGTAGTGTAAACGCGTCGGAAATGTGATCCGTTGACGTTTACACTCAAGCTCGAGAAAGGCTCTGCAGAATTGCAGTGCAGACCGCTCATGTTGGGGGCCCCCATTTCTTGTTGCTGGGTACCGGACAGAGGCTCGTAGCAATCGGTGTAAGCCCGTTGGCTGAAGCCTCACCGAGAGCCATTATTCGAGCCTCCTCTCTCTTCCCCAGAGACGTTGACACTCTCACCCTCACATTTCGCACACAGACAAAAGGACGCAAGGGGCGCATACGGGATACGGATACACACGCGCACATACAATCGCCGCTAGAGATGCACAACACCCGCAGGCAAGGCTCACTGACTCTGGGTTGCCCAGTGCTGAGATGACGGGATGCCAAACGAAACGAACACGGTCCGTGGTTTTGTTCTTGACTCGGGTTTGGGTTCCCTGGGTCCTCTTCGACTCTGAACTCTGACTAAGGATCCGTACGACCAGAGAGCAAAACGCGACAACGAAGTAGACAGATCACCGTGAAATTCCCCATGATGAAGAGAGGGTCTTGTTAGTAGTTCCACTGGGTCAAAGCGCGAGAGAGGATTGCAGCTTGCCTTGCCTTGCCTTACCTTGCACAGAGAGATCAACAGCCGCGCCATCCCGACGACGATGATTTGACAAGTCAGGGTCTTGTTCGATGGGGTGTTGTTCCCTCGCCTTGCCTTGCGCCTTGTGTGCTTGCGTCGCACGGCAAGGCACGCCATCACACTCGGACTCATGAACATCGCAATGTAAAAGAATCGCGGGGAGGCGGCGGTGAAGATGGTGGCAATGGCACGGAGGACGGGATCAACGGAGCCACACCACACCCAGAGCCCACACTAGGCTGGGATCATGAGCGATGGATATCTGCCATCCCCAGGGTTTCCGAATGGAACCCTCATTTTACAGCTCCCACTGGTGTTGAGAACTTGAGAACGCGAGGTGCTTGAAGCTTGGACCGAGAGAGAGGCAAACGAACACCCCCAGCTCCGCCCGCGGATCGGAATCTACCTCGCACGACGCCAAGACGCGTTCGCAATCTCAGACGGCGAAGATAGTGCCTTCGTTCCGAGGCTTCCATCACTTGGTGAACGGTGAGGCTCTTGTTCAATTACGCCGCTAGAGTTCGTACAATATATTCCATCGTCGACTAGCTAGAAAGTCTAGCAGGCTTCTAGCCTCATTCACCCACCACGAGAAATTGCGGCGAAACGGCCCGTGGACTTTTCAGACGAGTAGCCGAGTAGCCTCTAGGTAGCTTTCGCGGTGGTTCAATTTCTGCAGGATTCCTCTTTGGGAATCGCGTGATCGAAGGGTGCAGTGTTCTTGTGGTGCTTGTCGTCCTTCCTGGGAAGCCCCTAGCACCAAAGGCTGATATAATCTGATTAGCTCGAACGTGGACCCAGTCGTGCTACTGTGCTACAGGTGTTGGTGATTTTGATTCTTGCTGCTTCAGATTGATTGCAGAGATAGGATGTGGGGTTGGCCCGAAGCTAGGATTCAGGAATAGGATTTACTGCGGCCCTAGTTAAATTTGCGGGCAAACCGAGGGGGAGGCCAAGAACTTTCAATCAAGACTCGTGTGGTTCTGCTTGGCGACGCTTCTTTTTTTTTTGAGTTCCGCTGCTGCTTCTTCTTCTTCATCTGTCTATCCATAATTGACTTTTTTGTTCAGGAAGCACCGGAAATGGCAAGATGGCAAAAGCATGCTGAAGACTAAGTGCCTCTATATCTATATTATCGCGAGCCTCGGCGCGGTTGGAGTCTTTGTCTGCCCAAATTTGCGAAGCCCAAGACTCGAGTCGTGAATCTCCCACCTCTGGCGGAGGGGGTGTAAGTGCGCGAGTAGGTAAGGTACCTACCTACACAGTAAGGGCATGTTAGTCCTCCTGTTTATGTAATCCAACGAGGAACACGCGCAGCGTCGTATCTGCAGATTGCAAATCTTCTAAAGAAAGATCGCCAAAATGTTTGAGATACATTTCGAAAGCTTAAACTCCGCGTGACTTTGTTCGGTGTCGCCTATCAAAACATCAGTCACCTTACCTGGTTTCAACACACCCCCTTCCATGGGTGATGATGGCATCATCAGAAATCGCCCAACGTTGTTCGCCCCCCGCCCCCCGCGCGTCCGTCCCGCTCGCATAATGAACGCAAACGGAAAACACGGTCAGTTTAGTCACTGGTTGATCTCGATCTATTTTGGTGACACCAGGGACTGCCAGATCGAAAACCAGAAACCCGTGGTGGCCGGAGCTGCTCTGCGATTGATTAAACGATATAGATAGAAAGACAGTAAACCAATTTCCTTGGAGCCGGAGCCTATTCTTCACACCTGGGATCGTCCTTGGTAGTCGTCACAGTGCTCAAGAGCCCAACCATCATCCCAGAAGCAACAATTTGAATGTAGCAGGCAAGTCCCCGGATTCACTACTTTAGCGGTAGTTTGCTCGCGATGTGACGAAGGGTAATAGTGATGAACCAAGAAAGCCCGCGCTAAGAAAAAGCCACCGTCGCAACAAACGTGCATGCGAAGTTGCGAACTCCAAGATTTGCCAGATTAGCGGAGGAGAGGGGGTGTGATAGGTACGTGAACCATCAGGGTCAGGAGGGGCCGATCATCACCATCTCCGGGACTTGCGTAACCAGCCTCCCGGCAACGGCAACGGCACAGGCAAGTCAGACAAAGTATCCCGTCAAGTCATCGTCCGGGCCGGTGGTCGATGTTCCGTCTATTTGCAACCCATTCGGCATGGTCAAATTTCTTCGGTCCGGTTTTCTGTCCAACGTCAGCAAATCTCTTTCGTTCGCAACGGGATCTGCAAGAAATCATCACAGGAAGGGTTCTTTTTGTCCGAAAAGGGCAAGAAAAAGAATGCTGACGTTGAGTTAAGCCAATGACGTTTTGGAGTTGCACAACGTCCTGCAGACTTACACTCCACGAACTAGCAGCACCGAACGGTAAACCTGGGGTGGGTGTAAGCGCAACCCAAGCCTCACGTCACGTCCGGCGCCGCAGCCGAACCGGCAGCTTCGCGTAGAGTGCGCGGTTCCAAGTATCTGATTTAGATTCTGAGGTGTTCTGCTCAACTTCAAACAAAGGCTCGTGTTGGCATATTGCCCCATAGCTGCCCACTAAGTCATGACCTTAGGTAATCCTAGACACTTACAATGCCAAACTAAGCGCCGTCTGTCTGGAATAGACTACTGTTTGTAAACACTATTTTGCGCCGGGATTACTTACACGTGTGGACGCGGAACCTGGGAACAGTTAGACGCAGCCAAAAGACAGTGCAGGAATGTGTAAAGTGGTTTGTGGATAAACCATCTCAGCCGCAAGTTCGTCAACCTACACCAATACCAAGGTTCTTGCGGTTTCATCTTTTTTTTGCCACGATGTTCCCAGAGTTCAACCCACATGGCTCCGACGGCCGGGAAGCCTAGAACTCGGCCGGCCGCCGTTCCGCACCGCTCCAGCCCGCCCCTCCCACTTTCAGGCTCCGACGCGTTCTGATTGCAGTTGTTTTGGGTTAGAATCTAGGAAAAGGTAATATAGCTTGAGCACCGGCGTGTTATATGCTTACAAGTGTTACCGGGATGATTGTGGCTGAGGGGAGACAAATGTACGCAGTACGTCTTCAGCTCCTCAGCTCTTTCAGCTTAGCTAATGCATTCCTGGTCTCCGCACGCGGGTATTAGGTAAGCTCCGATATAGTGGGAACGTCCTCCCAAGCCTCGACGTTTTGAAAGCATGCAAGACCCTGCCGTGTTGCGCTCGACAGCGCATACTTTAGCATTATCGCGTACGGGTGCTCCATCGCCCACGCACCCGGCGTTTGGAGGTTACATTGGAACGGATGAGAACGAAGGCTGTTGAACTGGTCCCCGTTCCCGTCGTGCCCCATTCTCCGCCGCCGCCGTCTGCGTTGCACTCGAGGTTACTTTACACGTACCACGCTTACACACGCACTTGCACGCCTTGCGCCGGGAATCGGGGGATCGGGTGGAAACTGTCATACGGGACCACGGTACGGAGTATGCTCAGCTCGTGCCATCACCGCTTCTCTCGCAATCCAAAGGCGGTTCCATGACTATGCGGCGCTAGAAGATGGAACCAGAAGACCGGATGGATGGGCGCAGCGAGAGCGTGTGACGAACTACCGTAGACCAAAAAGAACGATTGCCGAAATGTGCCACTTTTAGTACTGCGACGGTGCAGACCTGTCTCGATCGCACGAACGCAACCTCGAAATTCCCGGGAGATGACGATAAATTTCGGTCACCCAGGGAAACGGTGAACCTTTTTTTCCCCATCATCTCTCCTCTTGAGAAATGAGTCTTTGGGCTGCAATCCGAACGAATGATGCCATGGAGCAGCAAGTCGGAGACGTCTTCAGGCCGCACGCATCTTTGAAGGCATCCGTACCCAAAATTCCCCCAACGCCAAAGTCAACGGACCAATCACAGCACTCGAAGCAAAAAGCAGGATTTCCTTCAGCGGCCGAACCACCCACCCCACGTGCGCGTACCTGATATCTGCCTTACCACGAACCCTCCCGACGACTAGCTAACCACCATTTGGAGAAAGTTTACTTGATGACGACGGGTGATCTATATCGCAGTGACATATAATAGTACAAAATGGTTAACTTCTCGGACTATGGCACTCTACTCGGCGTTTCAAAGAAACCATGCCGTCATGGGCCGGAGAGAAAGAAAGGCAATGTCGTCAAAAGACACTTCCTCACAGTGGGAAGAAAAAAGAGACAGCCAAGTAAGGTACGAAGACAGAAAAAAAAAAAGAACATCCAATGATCCAAAATCGATAGGACCAGGGGGGTCGCATCTGCAAGAAGTGCAACGGCAACACACACTGCACTCTGCAACAAAGCGGAGAATGCGACAGGGCGCCTGGCGCGGATAATGGCGGTGGGCGATGGACGGCTGACGGTGGGATAGTGGGGTTCCTTTTCCTCTTTTCTTTTTTCTTCCCGTCCACGACTGTCCTCTTTTCCCCCGGTCTCTATCTCTCTTGTGGATGCTATCAAGCATTCTGGTGTCTCCGTAGGACTGTACTGTGCAGGTGTGGATCATGAGGCGGTCGACGACAACGACAACGTGTTTCTTAACAATCTTTTTCCGTCTTTCAGGGAGAGCCTGCATCGCGATGCCGGGGTCGCGATTCCTCTTTCGTCCTTCTCGTCCGCAAGCCCCCAGAAGCGAGAGAGGGAATAAAAAAAAACGCCATGCAGAAAAAGAGAGGAAGAGAAAAAAAAAAAAAAAAAAGGCACAGCGTTGCTGCATGGATTCCACGTTGCAATTGACGTACCACCGCCCTTCAGCCACACCGCACCCTGTTACCATTGAACAGATTTGATCGCCAAAGTTGATTGGAGAACTAAGGCACGGGTACGCAGTAGTGGCAAGCAATTGAAAAGAATCATACTTCTTCTTCTTCCTCCCACATACCATAATCGCCAAGGCTTTCCTCTCCAATGTGGGGGGGGGGGGGATATTTCTACGAATTCCGCCCCGTGGACCTGACAATGGAGAGAGAAAGAGAGAGAGACGGGACCGGGGTGTCTGGTGTATGTACGGAGTAGTACCTAAAGAGGCCCCCACTTTCTAGGTGCGGAAGAGGCGAAAAAAAGGTGTACCTTTTTTAAACCTTAGAAAAACAGCCTCACGGAAAAATGTGGCTATTTTAGTACTCACATCCTAGTCGGGGGAACCTCCAACCCCCAATCAGCAGCAGCGACAGCATCATCACCACATCTCCAAGAAACCGGTTCCCGTGAAGCTACATCTACGCAGGGCTACTGTCGATGGCCGAAAGATGGCACGCCCAATCTATCGATTCTCGACTCAAAACTCCTCGCAACTAGGTATTCCAGCACAGACTTCTCCCCCCCCCCCCCTCCTTCGCCATCGTCATCGTGGCTGCTAAATGGACTCAACCGACCTATACTAACCAAACCCCCTACCTTATCCCATTGACATACTGTACAGCCGCAAACCACGATGCCCATCTATCTGCCGCAAACAAACGCGCAGTCGGAGGTGCGGGGGTTTCTAGTGTATTTGGCGCGCGTGTTAGACATATATCGCGCACCGCACACATACATACGCACATATAGGACTAGGCGTTGACAGTATTGCTTGCGCAAGGCAAGGGGGGCCAGATTCTCTTCTATAGCTCACGCACACAGTAAGCAGACCCTCTACGACCATGGGAAACCAAAAAAGAAAAGAAACTTTCAACGCAGGGACCACGAATTGTCTAAGACTGCGGCACCGAATAGATCATGAGGGGTCATCATGAATCGATCAGGTCGGAGCTTTCAGCCAAGCTACCCCATGGTCCCCCCCCCCCCCTCCAATCCAGCGTCGCAGCAAAAGACGTCGCCGGTCCTCTCTTTTCGTTGTGTTCGTTATCGTTTCTGGTTTGTAATGTTTTCGCCCCCATTTCGGCATTCAAGCGATATAATTGCTAAATGTTGTCATCGGGTCGTCCGGAGTACCCTGGGCGCGCATTCCAGACGCAATTTTCCCATTCCGCTCTGGCTTCAGACATTTCGTCCACAACAGTGACAGTGACAGTGACAGCAGTGACAACACGGCGGCCGTTCCCAAGAAAGCTCAGACCAATGCCAGCGACTGCGAATGCGATGTGTTAAGAAAAAGGGAAAAAAAAAGTTGCGGCACCAATCGCAAATCCAGCACCCCAAACCTAAAAAAAGAAGGCCGAAACCGAAGCTTGGGGAGTCGGTTCGTCAGATGCCACCGTGGGGGACCGAGCTGCGACGCAGACGGATGTGCTACGATCTCCCCAAGACTTACTCCGTACGGACCCCAAAACTCATACAAACGGCGCCAACAATCACATCACGAGAGTAGCAGCGGTTACACGAGATAAGTTGAACAAATAGGACATTCTTGTTTGGTATCATTGATTGGCTGTCTAGTAGCCCACGCCGCCCCCGAAGCCTCGCGGAAGGGGGTGTGGCCGATTCGGCTGCCCGGTTGTCAAAGGCCATCGCTCTTTGGCGTGCCCATTCCCGTCCCATTTTTGGTACATTGCCAGTGACCATACACTTTTGTGCTATGTCTGCGGCTTTTGGTCCCTCTTCCTCCACCACTGTTGCTTTACACATTACTTCGACCCCGTTTGTACACGCAAAGAAATTCGTTCCGTCGTTATTGAAAAAAGAGAAGATTGCCCTGCGCCAATTGAAGAAAGGAGTGTTGGCCGAGCCCCAAGTCCGTAACCCGAGGGTCAATGTGAAACGCCGTGATCCAGTTCCGGTCCCCGTTCGTGCGCCGTGCATGCAAAGCAAATGGTCCCGACCCGAATGCAAAAAAAGTGATGCAAGCAAAGTGCCCTGCCGTTGTGTGTCGAAAGTGTCTTTTGTGTTTGGTTTTTTACTGATTTTTTTCTTTGGTGGGTGACCGGCGACTAGCCAATCTTGATGCTCTTCCTGCGGTTGGTGAAGCCGCTGAGGATTCGGCTCCGGGTGTTGCCTGCCGGTGAGCTAGGCGATTGTACCTGAGCGACGGGGGTGGACGGGGTCGGGGGCTGGTTCTGCGCATTCTTCTTGGCCGCACGCATGATATCGTGGTAGCTGACAGCGGACCAAGGTGCCTTTTGCTCGGGCTCTTCCCTGATGTCTGCGTGGGCCGACAAGGGGAGGTGTCCAAGTGATGGTGAGGACAGGCGGTCGCGAGAGGAGTTGTTGGCAGCGAGGTCTCTCAGCTGAGGACGGCTGCGCTTGCGGACAATGCTGAGGGTCCTCTTGAATAGTTGCGAGGTGGGAGTCTTGGGTCTCTCGAGCTTCTCAGGCTCCGCCTGTTGCTCCTCGGCCCTCTCGTCGAATGGCTTGCTGGCGTAGGGGTCGATGCTGAGGAAGGAAGGCTTCTCCTTGGGCAGCATGCTGCTGGTGATCATCATGCTGCTTGACCTGGGCGGGTGGAAGACGGGAGAGAAGGAGGCGCCGCTAGTGGAAGAAGTGGACATCCTGCGCAATGAGGGTGCTGTTGATGAGATAACCAAGCGGCTTGGGGGTCTACTGGACTCCATGGACTCGGGCGAGGCGGACCTTCTTGTTGAGGGGAGGTCGATGATGGAGGGCTTTCCAGCAAAGACGACAGATACGACGCGTGCAGTATCTTCTTGGCTCTTCCTGCGGACGGGGGAGTCGGCGGACTCTGCGCTCTCGGACTCGTAATCGTAGTCTGAAAACTCGTCGGCGGAGGAGGAAGCCTCTTCTTCGGAAGAGAGGTAGACCTCTTGGGGTGCTGCTTGTGTGGGTTGGTTTGTGATGATCTTGAGGGCCATGCCGTCGAGGAGTCTGGAAGCTCGCAGTGAGCTCTTGGCCGGTAGTGCTGGTGCTGTTTGTGTGGGTTGGGCCTTCTTGGGGGAAGGGCCCGTCATCTCTTCGTAGTAGTCGCCGTACATCTTTGCGTTCTCGTTCTCGTTCGGGGCGTCGTCGTTTTGGACGGATGGTCGTGGTGCGTTGGGAAGCGAGTCTCTATAAGATGTCCTTTGTGACTGCTGGTCCTTCTTGTCTGTGATGGTGGAGGTAACACGGTCCTCTCGGCTGGAATGTACCGACTCCCTTACGGGCATAGTCTGGCCGGCCAGAGACATGGTTGGCGGTGACGTGAAGTTCGCGATCTCCCTCGAGGAAATCTGAGACTGGGCGGTTTCAGTCGACTCTCAGAGTGCAGAGTGCAGCTGGTCTACAGCAAATAGTGACAGCTGACTAGCAGGTAGGTTGGTGTAAGTGTCCAGGCCGGGTATATGGGCTTGGAGTTGAGAAGATGTTCAGAGGGAGGAGTACTGCAGAGTTACTCGTTTGGTGAAGCAAAAGAATGAGCAAGAAGCACCTAGGGGTGTGAGGTGGGAGGGCAGAGGAGGATATATCTATGGCCGGGTCGGTCAGGCACACTTGGACGGGTTGGGGACGGGATGGGATATGTTCTGTTCGGGTGGACTCACATAAAGGGACGGGGGGTATGGTACGAAGTACAAAGTATCGGGGGCTCCAAATAGGTAGCCGGGGGGGGAGGGGTGTGGGATGGGAATCGACTCCGTGGAGAGAGAGAGAGAGAAGTGAAGATTGAGAGAGACAGACAGAGAGAGAGAGCACAGATGGCACTGCAAGGCGCCAGATAGGCAAGAGACAGGTCGGACAGACACCAAGATGCTCCTGCACTTTACACTCTGCACTCTGCACTTGCACCCAAGTCCATGTCCACCAAGTCCCATGTCCTGATCCTGGGTCCCCCCCCCCAGTGACCCCCTAGTCCTGATCCCGGTCAGGTTCTCATCCTGAACGGGGTCCACTTGGGTACGGGGACCCAGTGCTCTCGACACAAGTTGACACAGTACAATGTACCGGGGGGCTTTTGTGGCAGCAGCGCCAGCGAGAGAAAGCGAGGCAGGGGCTGGGAGGTCAAGTCCCCGCTAGTCCCTGTCGCTCCTTCCTTTGGCTGTCCACCTGCAAGATGAGGTACGTACTTTGCGCACTCTGAGGTGCCATCAACCTAAGGTACCTAACACTCCCATCGAGAGAATCGACACCTTACAACCTCGCAACCTTAGCTAAGGCACTTTTCTTCGCAATCCACCACCCACGCCCAGTCTCTCGAGTACCTACCATCAAACTACGGAGTACGCAGTAAAGCCAGAGTGCTCAGTCACTTCGTGTCATTGTGGCTCAATCAATGGCTGTGAGTCTGTCATGTACACACAGATATCCGTACTGCTCACCCTAATTACCTGCCTAGCTCTCCGTCAATCTCTCTCAACCTGTCCGTGGGGTGTCCGCACCAAACCTTACATCGAGCGTACAATCACGGCCATACTCTCTCCCACCACACGACGATGGTGGCATGGAGGACGGAGTAACGACTAACGGGTTACGGAGCACCTCCTACGGATAGACGCCTTTCTCTTGCACTCCCTTTCCACGCCCATCCGCGAAATGCTTCGTACCCCCTACACCACTCCTCCTCCTTACGCCAAACACCACACACCAGCACCAGCACCAGCATCAGCACCAGCACCAGCACCAGGCACACCCACCACCACAGCCACCACCACACTTTGCATCACAGACGCTACCCACACGGGCCACACCTGGCACATCTCCTACGCCGTGCCCCTTCATCATTGACTGCACAATCTTCGGCCCCACACTCTAATTCGCCCTTCAGGTCAGGACCGCGCTGTCCAGCCTTGGCCAATTCTGGCACTCTGCTTCACAATCGCATTTTCTACTTGCAGCACTATACCATCCCGACCACGCGCTGCTGCGAGGATTGCCTCTAAAGTGCGTCGTTTCATGTAAAAGGGTGCTACTGATGACCAGACACCATCTACAATGCCTGAACCGCACCGCACCGCACAATACAACTCGTCCAGACGGGCGTTCGCGGCTTGCCATCACCTCTTCAGATGTCTCCATTAGGCTATCACCTCCATGAGGCATGGCGTTTCTTAGCACTCGAGTAGAAAAGCGAGTCTGCCGATGCGAGGGGTTACCGAGACTGACGAGAGACGAAACCGACCAAGCCGCCCTACCCACGGCCACGGTTATGGCCCTCGCGATAGTCTCGTCGCTGTGGATTGGAGGGAGGAACAAGTGTGTGGAAACTCTGTTCAGTCTAATCGTCGGCACTTCAGCCCATGCTGTCATCTGCTCAACATCCTTCAACCACCATGCTGATGCCGCTCACTGCCCATCACATCTGGTGGCCGGCATCTTACTGTGCCCTCCACAACGCTGCTAGACATAATGACTTGTAACAGCCGCAGCGAGGCATGTTGCCTACTGCACTCTTCGTCATCCCATCATGAGCCTCGTTCGTTTTTCCCTGCTTGTCGACATTTCCCAGCGCCAAACACCCCACACCTCTTGTCAAGCTGTCGCTCTCGCAGTCGACCGGGGGGTTGGTCACACCCACGATCACAGCAGCAAACTCCACACCACCAGACGAGGCGGTGGCAGGGGTCGACTTTGCTGTCCAAAGGGACGACATCTTGGGGTTCCTCGACGGCCAAGGAAAAGCGTTCCTCAGCCCAAGGGCAACGACAAGAACGCAAGCGTCTGCGTCTGCGTCCGCCTCCACCGTCTTCGTGATTGGAGGCATCTTTCCATCTATTGGTAGACCGTAGGGGCCTCCCGATGGCTGATTGGACCCGATACCCCTTTGCCGTCTTAGCGGCCGCCGGCAACCGCCTTCTGTCGGACCACCAGAAACGGCCGTCGGAGCCAAATGCTGCTCGTCCAGTCCCGTCTGCGTTAGGGACCCTTCTTCCTGCCCGCATGAAAACGTCCACTTCGATTTTCTCATGCGACCCGACGGATGCTCTCGCTCCCGCCACTGGAACTGAAAGGGAGCAAGTCAATTCGATCCCGAGAAAAGGGAGAAACATTTCCAATGTTTCGGGCTCACGGCGGAACATGTCTTGGCTCCTCGCTCTCCGGCTACAGGCTGTGCAGGGCAAGGACGGGCCATGATCGATGTGCAGGCCTGGACGAGGCAACCCCTCCGCCCTTGGCAATCCATGATACCGCACATATGCATGTACGCGAGTGTGCCAGAAAAAAGAAGCATCACGAACCCGTGGTCCAAACAGCTCAAGACCCTTGCGGCCTGGCCTGCCCAGTCTCCAGGGCCATGGTCTGCGGACAGACCGAGCTTTTCCGGGGGAGAATGCCATTTACTTTAAATGAGGCCGACGACGACAACCAGATACCGTATCGGACGCAATCAAGATGCAATCTGTCTGTTAACATGAAGGGGCCAGGTGGAGGCCCGCAAGTGCGATTTCGCAATGGCCCGGCCGATCTCTTCCGGGAATGGCGTGCGGAAGCCAAGATCGACCGACAGCAACAACGTTATTGTTTGTCCGGCGCGCAGACTATCTGAATATGCACGCTTTACCGCCCCCGCGCCATCATGTGGTCGTGGAACAATATCAAGATGCTTCAATGGTGTGGAACTGTGATGGCACGCAGCATGTGTGTACCTCGCCCTCTACAGGTTCGCCGTAGACATTCGATACTCTGGGCCGCGATCTGGACTGGTACCTGCTGCACCGTGCCGCGCGATATCGACGCAAGTGCTAGAAAAGGGAAGACTCTAGAGCAAAAAAACGGCTTGTCTCACTGGAAGCGAAGAGGCTGCCGACATCTCACTGGACAGATGCGAGGCACAGAGCGTTGCATCGTCAAAGTGACACCACGTTGGGTCGGCAGATTCCCTACGGGTTGCACGAATCACATCGTGAACAACGGTTCCAGTTCTTTTCTCCGCCGTATCCCTAGGACGCCAGATGCGGAACAATTTTTTTTCTTTCGTTTATCTCTTTGCCTCACGAATCCCAGACCGACATTTTGTCTCGTCTCCGCCGTCTGGCCATCGCAAGCAACTCAGTTCGCCCCAACCGTCTCGCCTCTCTCTCTCTCTCTCTCTCTCTCTCTCTCTCTCTCTCTGCCGCAGAGGGGAATGCCAATGATGGGATTGTCTACGCCAGTAGATTAAGCGTGCAGCGCCATGCGAGAAATGTTTCCTCAAAAACAGCAAGGCTCGCCCTTGCAGAAAAAGAGCACGCGAGAGAAGAGACGTTTCTTTGCGCCCTGCCGCCGCCTTGCCCCGTCTGAGAAATGATCCCAAACCTGAGGCGCGCCAGTGAGTTCAAGGGCAAGGACTGACGCTATTCTTTCCAAGTGTTTCGTCGCCAGCTTGCCGAATTCCAGCAACGAGGGGTTGCTTCTTGAGCTCTTTGGGCCAGTCACGGCCCTTGGAACGGGCAACCCCCTGGCGTTCGTCTGATGTGCTGCGACAGACATTGTCGAGACTGGGAGACGGTCATTCGCTAACCAGGTTGGATCTGTGAGCTTCACGGCCTGTCACTGGACGAGAGCTGTCAGTTAAAGCTTGGGAGTGCGGCAACGCACAAACCCAAGCCATCGGGGACGAGACAAGCTTATCAGCGTTTTTTTGCAAGGGCCCTGACCCAAACGCTCCTGACGGCTCAAGTGCTTCATTATGCCAAAGCAAAGCCCTGCAACCGCATGGCGATTCGTTTCGGGACGACTGCAAGCGCAGAGTGTCTCTGGCGGCTGGCAATGCTCAACGTTTTCCGGACGACGATCGGGGTCATGCTCCCGTACCCGCATCCGTGGAGATACAAGGCCGTACCGCGTCCGTCTCTGGCCGGAAGCAACGCACACAGTGTACGGGGTATGGAGAGGTGTCGACTGTCGACGAAATAAGGACCCAAATTGGCCATGCGCGTGATATCGCTATTCGTATGCGACGTGATACGAAGTACAAGGCTCATCGCTGGTGCTTGGCGGGCGACGGGCCATCAGCAATCAAGATTCGGAATGAGAAGAGGGTCCTTTTCTCTCTCAAAGATTTCTTGCGTACGGCGCGGCGCATTTTGGCCCATTCATCAGCCCATGTGCTGTCGGCTGCCAGCCCAAGACCAGACTGACGCCGGCAGACGGTAATTTGACCAGGGCATCCTCAGTGGGGGGCCTCGAAAGATGCGATGAATTCCAACACGATGGATGCATATTCGATACCGTGTCCCTTCCTTCGTCTCCGTCTCCTCATAACCTGTCTGCCTGGCTCATCCGCAACGGACCAACTCCGAGCCTGAACCCGGTGGTTTTGCGGACTGGCGGGCTCGCTTCCTTGGTCCCTTGACTGTCTGTCCCTTGCTGCCGAACATTCTCTTCCTTCCATTCCTTCCAACACCCTTACCACACAGTAAAAGGGTCCGCCGGGTTTTCAGACCGACTGTCTCTCGCGTACGAAATACCCACGACAATACTCCGTACCCGCAGAACAGGCTCGCCAGGTTGCACCCTCAGTCTCCCACTCCCTCACAACGAGCCCAGTCGACCTCTCCCAGTTCTAGCGCACCCACTAGAAGTGGCTCTGGTGGACATGTCGCGGCCGACTTAACCACACCTTCTTGGCCTCACATCCCCACAGTCGCATTTCCACTGGATATCACGGATCACCGCCTGGCGCCTGAATAAAGTCAACGTTTTTCAACGGGCCACTCAGCGGTCAGAATCGCGGCAGCCTCAGAATTCCAGCCACAAACCGACAAGCACGCCAACCTCTATGCGAGATGATGCTAGCCCACATACGGCAAGGTACTAACCGGTCCAACTTTCTAAAATTGTATCACGGCCCTCTTCACATTTTTTCCCTCTTCCCTGCTGCTGCGAAGGAATGGCGAGAGAAAGATGGGGAAGAGTGACAGCGTCAAGAGTCAGTCGCCTCCAGTCTCTGGAAAAGTCTCGAGGGATTGAATTGTGGCTTCCATTGTCTAAGACACCACAGCGGCCCGTTCTCAACAAAGGCTTTCTTTCTGGTGAACTACGCCAGCGGCGATATTTTGAAATAGAGCGGAGTCATGGCCGTTGATTTGCGGCCGAACCACATCCGTTCGTACAGTGCCACTACCCAAAGATCGTCGGATTGGCCTCCGCCAGCCGCCGCACGCCATGCATCTCCTCTTGAGTCTTTCCTGGAGGCCATGATCCGAAACGCATGGCTATCTATTCTGTCATATTCCTTGGGTTGCATCTGACATCTCTGGCTCCCTCTGACGAGCCACCGTGAAGCTCGTCCGTGATGCCGGGCTCTGTGTGATCGTCGCGGGATCCGGAGAATGATACACGTCCCGCAACGCATGGCCCCTGACAGAAACAAAGATGTTCTCGGGACGCGGCAACCCCATCCCATGTTGCCGCTCTGCGTTGATAACAGATGCATTATCATGCAATATCTTCCATCCAGCCTTACGTGGCGAGCCGTCTCATCTCTCTTGCCGCTGACCGAGCCGTCTTGGTTATTGGACGGTAGTAAGCGAGCGCTACGGGCTTGTATCACGAATTGCACATTCGCTACATGATATGCGACAGGGTTCTGTTTCAACACGAAAGCCTACAGGAAATGACTGACAGTTGGTGGATCATAGCACGGCATGTCAACGAGCCGTACACCACTATTACCAGCTGCGCGGGATGGACACATGCGGGGGATATCCAAAGCAGGCTACCAGACTGATTCGCGAGTATCTCGGTGCGCATCTCCCGGTGGTGTGGGGCCGTGTCCGCGCCGACTCTAACATCTTGAGATGGTGGTCCGAAGTCTGCGGCTGGAAAGGCGCACCAGAGCTGGTGTTGCAGCTAACGCGCAGAGAAACCAAACAAAATCCCACTCGCTTGCGGACCGATAAGATTCCAACTTCGTCTCTTCTTTCGAGAGCTGACTTTGGACGGGCCATGTGTTTGCCGGGAGGCTGACAAAGACCAAGATAGGATGTCAGCAGTCCGATGTTGAGGTTATGCACGCCGTCTTTACTCTGATACTTTTCGGCCTCGGATTCGACTGCGATCCTTCCGAGAGCTTGATAGTGATCGGTTGCTCAAGTCAACAAGATTTTGGCGCCTTTGACAAATTGTCCAGGGCCACGAGAATCCGAAATTATTATCAGGTGGACGAAAGATCAAATTTGTCTGCCTACGGCTAGTTGCTCAGTAGTGGCGCAGTCAGCCCAATTATCTGGGCAGGATTCGGACCTTGTCGTAAACTTCAGGACTGTCAACTCGTCGACACCAATCTGGAATGGTGGCCGGGTCTACGCTCCCTGAGAAGCATCCTGAAGCTGGCAAACGCAGCTCACCGCCATGGACCCTTGGGATCATCCGAGTATGCGGATGTCAACACTGGAGAGCATCGTCGCACTGAGTCAGCTGCACAAGCAAGACGTTGGTGAGCAAGTAGCCTATGGGCATGCCGAGAGGGCTCCCATCAGTGAGCAATGGACGGTGGCCTCGACGACAGGTAGGTCATCTGCATCTTTCTTGTGGCTCATACTGTGAGCTTATTCGGGTAGCCGATTGACGAGGTTATGGTGCTGACGCTCATGCAGTGCTGACATGCGACTGCGCTTTCAGATCCTACGTGTAGCCTTGCGACGTTTCCTGCACTGTCTGCCAAAGTATCCCATTGTTGGTCAGACGTTGCTGATATCTCATTGCACGGTGCAACGTTTTGCCTCGGTGACGATCAGCCCTACCTTGGAGAAATACAGCAACATAAGCGTTCGAGTTGCCGCAACGCAGCGAACAAACTCGATTCACGTTTTAATAACCGTAGCAAGATATAGTCTCCATTCAAGGCATGACGATAGAAGCGTCCATCGTCTCACACTCGGGCCAACACTTCAGCTTTGCGAGACCCTCCGTCGCGGTCTGAAACGGATCCAGACATGTCCAACCGTAACAAATCCCACGCTGGGGGTTGCACTCGTCGCGAAGACCCGAATAGCACCGGCCGTCGGCGACTCAGACATGGATCATGCACTGTCCAGCGATGGCACGATGGAAAGTTCCAAGGGCGTGTCCGTTTCGATTAGTTTGAAACGGACTCTTATCAAATTCAATGTCGATCGGAGGCAAGCAGTAGGGGGTCTCCCCGGTTGCTTTCTCCGCATCGCCGTCTCGGCCTCCGCATCTCCCCTTTTCCTCTCCCCCCGCCCGACGCTGTTGGTCCCGGCGGTGCACCGTGCCCGGTCGCCGGTGTTGCAGTCTCCACCTCGTTCGGGGGAGAGTGGAGGGAAGGGAAAAGCCAAAAAACGGCGACATGACATCATCCCTGCAACACCCCCACCTGCTGCATCCAACCGCCCAACCACCAACGTTTCCCGACGTCACTGGGCATCTTTTGATGGTTTGGACGTCTTGTCCAAACCTGCTCCCTCGACGGCAGCCATAGACAAGCTTAAGCTAACGATTCATTGCAATGCAAAGTTTGGATCGAGCCAAGTTCCAACCGCATCTATGAATGTCGTTCGTTGCTCGCAGTTTGTTTCTTGGATGTAATTCGCCTCAATGAACCAATACGCGAAAGACAAGACAGAGACATTACGTTTCGACCAACCTCCCCTTACGCGGCAATGGATCCACCGACTCCTTCGCTTCCAACCTCCTCTTGCGTTCTTTTCTCTCTCAAGCTTGACTACTCGCAATTCAAAGATTGCTTCTGCTGCTTCGACTAGTCTCATTCGCTCTACACAAAATTCTGGGGACATGGGAATGAATACCTATCCGTAGTACCAACCTTGTTCCCGACGACATATGTACATGTGTGCCACAGTGTAACAGTATCACGGCATCAGAGCCGGACTTGCACTGCGTAGATGGCATATTGTCCAACTTGGACGGGATGTTACTTTTGGGCGTAGTGCAACTCTGTTTTTTTTTCCCCTCTGCCGTCGATCGACGGTAGTTGATGAACCCTCGCCATACTCTCAGCCTGCTGCTGCTTCATACTCAACTGCAGTCTGCTGCGTACCTGTAGTAGTTTGGCAGAAACGTGTGTTTGGGTTAGGCTGCGTGGGGACACTGCACCGTGACGTCGCTTATCGCTGACTCCCCTCCTCCCACCTCCTTTACGATTCATCATACCCTACTACCACCTTTCCAACCTTGCTTCGACTTTACGCAGTATAGAATCACCGTGCAGTCTATGTCCCAAGTTATTGGAAAACCAGGGTCTGGAACCTTCTCCCAGACCAGGGCTTACATCCATGAGTTTTTGGGCAAGTTGGAGTATATCCTGGCGGTGGGGAGGGGGTTTCTTCGGGAATGAGGCTTGATAGCGTCATATAGCCTTTTTTTCTGCCAGCTCTGCATTGCAGCACGGGTAG